CCAGGGCCTTTCTGAGTGGAGTTTGCATGTTCTCCCCGTGTCTGCGTAGGTTTCCTCCGGGTACTCCGGTTTCCCCTACCTCTAAAAATATGTCCAATAGTTCTGGCATGTGCCTCCTGTACTGGCCCCTCCCATCTCTGTGTGGAGTGAGAGACAAATGCCCATAATTAACAATTGTAAACCGCTTTGAGACTCAGATCTGCAGTGAAAAGGCGGTATATAAATAAAAACTTACTTACTTACTTACTTACTTATTGATAATTGTTATTGATGAAGATTGATACTGTTTGACTGTATTTTTGTAAATTACACACTTTTTATGCGCTTTGTTTTTGTCACATTTTGTCATTCTTTTTATTTTTTATGGGGGAGGGTTGTTTTTCTCTCTCTATTACTTCTTATTGCTATTGCATGATCAGATTTTTTTCTCTTACAAGGCCAATAAAGTAATAACTTGTTGTTGGCACACCAAATGTATTACGTTATTGGCTTTTATTGCTTTCATTGGCTGTTATAAATTTTTTGGTTTCGGCACACCTTATACACAGTTATTACACTAATTTTACATATTTTCTTCTTTTAAGAGACTGTCAGTAATAACCCTCTGCCAAGCCGGGCAACAAACCAAGAGGTGGAAATGCTAATAAAGAGATGGTTGCACCTTGCTCCTGACAGGGATGGGGGAATGGGGGAAGGAGAGACCGAGAAGGCCGGAGGCAGCGTGAGCCGAGTGTGGAGTCGTCTCAAGCAAAGGCAACAAAACCAGGACTAAGGCTTGTTGTAGAATCCTTTGTTCATGTTGAAACTTCCTGATTTACCTTTTTTGTTTGATTAGTTTGTTCCGACATAAAGTTCATTTAAGATTTTATTAAGGTAATTTGTTTCACATTTGTTTTCAACGTTTGTTAATAAATAATAATAAACACATTTTCAAATGTATTTATTATTTGATTTATTACTGTATTTATTATGTGGTATTGAGTGTGGGTCACATTTTTGCTCAGGCCACTTGTGTTGGATGTGGTAAAGATGTGGTGAACATTTGGCCCTAATAAGGTTCAGATGTGGGCCACATCTGGCAGAAGAATCATGCTATCGCCGGACATTCACGCGGTATGTCCAAATTAACACCTGTGTATGTGGGCCACATCTGGGCCACAACAATTTTGCTATCTGGGTTAGGTCAAACTGCTATAATTATGCAAATAAAAAGCAAACAAATAACTCAGTTTTATTAAACTTTGAAAACGATCCTGACATGATTCTGACAAAGCATTCAGTGTAAACAACGTACAGCGATGACGAAGGTCCCGGGATGTAGCTGGCTAGCCTTGCGGCAACATAGGCTAATGACGTCATTAGGAGAGAATATTAAACATTTACGAACTAAACACGTCCTAGTGTAAGCCTATAGGGTGTCCACAAGAGTGTACATACCACGTTAAAGACTACAATAGCCAGCCCAGTTAGGGTTAGAAAAAAGATATACAGTCTATGGATTGTTCGAGAGTTCGAACAAGACATAACTTACTGTTAGCCACTTAGCCGCTCGTCGGATGCACGCATCTCCAGGTGTTTGTAAACAGGAATTCCATCTCCAAGCTGCAGTGGGTTACCTTTCACTGGCCCCGCCCCGAAGCGTAGAAGAGATGGCAAAAGTTTTCAACGCACGCAGAACACAGACCACGAGAAGGAAGAAGGCAAGTCACGAGCGCACACGAGCGCACACTGGTACTGAATCTGCACGGAGTGAGAGGATCTGCGCGTGTGTGGTGTGAAATATGCGCGTGGAGAGTAGTTTACGTGCGTGTGAATTAAATAAAGCTGCGCGTGTGAACTTTTGGCGTGAATCTGGCGCCATACATACTGCAGTAACAAGGCGACAAGACAGCCATCTACAACAAGTAAGACTGTGCTAACCTAACATTCAAACGGTCCATTTGTTCATGTTTTTTAATATGGTGACTTGCTAAAGTGCCCTGTGTGAGGATCAAACTCACAACCATCAGATTATGAGACTGACGCGCTGCCTACTGCGCTAACAAGGCAACAGAACTATTTACAAGTCAAACTGTGCCAACTTCCAAACAAACTGACCATTTATTTGTACGTTTTTTAATATGGTGTTTTGCTAAAGTGCCCTGTGTGAGGATCGAACTCAAGACCTTTTTAGTGCCTACTGCACTAACAAGGCGACAAGAGATTATATATATCAAGTCAGACTGTGTTAACATCATAGACTGTATATATTAAAGGACAGAGTACGCCTATCTCTGCCGTAGTGCTCTACTGGAGCTATCCAAAATGGCCACGAGTGATCTTCGCATGCGTGAGCCGGAGAGACTTCAAAAATTCACAGCGACTAAACTAGAGTGGACCAGAACACTCCCTCAGCATTGACACACATGTGGAACAGAGCTTTGGGCCAAGAGCCAACCTTTGGACCATCCTGTAAAGACGTTTTTGAGAGGTCTGCTAATGCTATATTTTAGCATTGGCTAATTCTTATTCTAGGTCCACCCCCACAGCCCCGGGGTGGTATTGCAGCATGTCGGCGCACGTCGTTTTGGTCGCTTTTGAGCTGGGACCCGCCCACACTGGTTAACATCCAAACAAACTGACCTTTTCTTTTTGCATGTTCTCAATATGCTGTCTTGCTAAGGTGCCCTGTGTGAGGATTGAACTCATGACCTAGAGATGATAAGACTCACATGCTTGTGTACACAACAAGTCAAACCGCGATACTTTCTTCTCAAAGAGGTAATTTTTGTCTGTGTTTTTTATTATGCTGTCTTGTGAAAGTGCCCTGTGTGAGGGTTTCCTCCAGAGGGGGGGGGATCAGTCCCCCCCTGGCCATGGCCCTAGGGGGATATCCCCCCTCAATTTTTTAGACATACATGTATACAATTCTCACATCAAAAAGAGCCTTATTATTTTACATTATTTTCATTGGGATAACTCTGATTTGACATACTATCTAATCTAATACATGTAGGACACACTACAAGAAATTCTTCACAGGAAAAATGTGTTATTCTTTATTTTTGAGCTAAATCATTTTTGCCCAACCTTTTTGAGCTGGCACACTTTTTCCATTGGTCTTCCATATTGACATCATTGTTTGCAAGGCTTTTTGCACTTGTTTGTGAGACTTGCAAGCAGCAATAAGTGCAAGCTGGAGAAGATGACAATGGCAGTGGACAATAATAGCCTTGGGGGAACAGAGACTCTTTAGTCGTTGCTGAACACCAATTTTCTTCCCTGACATAGTCGCAGCTCCATCGGACCCTTGACCTCTCATCTTTCTCCAATCAACACCTGGAAAATAATTCAAATGAATGAGATGTATAAATAAATTTCTGTTCATAGCATACTTGTAATCTGTATGTAATTTTAACAAAAAGGATGCTTACCCTTTACTTCCATGATTTCTTTTGCCTTTTTACTTCTGCACATGTAGACTCAAGACTAATTAGCCAAGAAAATGCTCCTCAGATTTTCCATTGACAATCCGGCGTGCACAAACACTCATTTCCACATCAGTGTTGATATCCGTGCATTCATCACAGAGAAGGGAGAAGAAAGGTGATGTTTTCAGAGATCATTTTCAATCCAGGCACTAATGGATTGAATGAACTCTTCTATCACCATATTTGAGAAATAGTTGGCATTTTTCGGTGCAGTCTCCAGAAATTCTTTGAAGTCATCAGCTCCATTTTCAATCTGTAATAGCAGCAAGTCCTGAAAATTGGTGAAATGAGCTGACTTGGACTGGCAAAGATAATAGAGGGATTTCAAGAATTTTGTAAGCATTTCCCAGTTTTTCAGACGAAGAGCCTTCAGTAGCTACAGTGTCCCCATGATGAGCTGTGTCTGAGAAGCTACTTGGCGACGAGCGTTTGAGTCTTTTTGACGCTGACCGTTTTCATGCTCCCTGATTCCTTTCTCCAGTTACTGACAGGTACTGTTTCCCATGCTCCTTTAGTTCTTGTATTGGATATGTGATTAGGAACTCCATATTCCATACAGATACCATCTGGTAAACTATCATACCTAAAAAACAAAACAGTAAATGATTATTGAAATGTATAAAAAATAAACAGTGATGATAATGTATTAAACACTGGCTCCAAGTATTTTTTGTGTCTGTCTTTCCGACAGACACAAAAAACTATTTAGAAATTCCTGTGCAGAACCATCTTGCCGACAGTGGCTTTTTGATGGCATTTTCTCAAGTTTCAGGTGTATTCCAGTTTCTGTTTTTGCCCATTCATGGACAGTCCATGCTCCTATGTTCAGGGTTAAAAGAAACATTGTCTGGCAAACTGGTATTTGCTTATTATCCACCTGCAGTTTATACTTGTATGTTCGGTTCTTCCGAGATGGGCCTACAGTTGTTTGTCGTCTTGTAGGGCATGCTTCTACTTCGCTCCCATGTCATGTCCCAGAACTCTGTGAAGATTGTTTGTCTTTGTTCATCAGAAATATTTGTGCATTGCTGTCCTCCTTTGTTTTTGATTTGACCCTCGTTGTAGCCATGATTACATCTTTCTCCTCTGGAACGCGGACTTCGAGTAACCTCAATGCCACTTTGTCCCACTTTACTTTTCCCTTTGTACTCTTTTCCTAGCCGCCTGTTTTCCTTATTTTTTATATCTGTAGTTGACACCTTTCTTTCTCATTGGTCTGTTCGATTCCTCTTCTGCCATTTCGACCTCTTGTTCAGTTCCACCACTGTAATTAGAGCTTTCAGTCTCTTCTTGTTGGTCTTTAGAAGGGTCAAAGGTTTTATCCAGGATAATATCGTCATCTAACCCTGGGTGGCTAGGTGAGGCTCTATATCATATCAGATGTTGAAAATGTATCTAAATCAGACTCCACAATGGATGTAAATAAGATAAGTTCTTCACTAAAAAGGTCCATTGTAAATACTCTCTGGTCTGTATTATGGGCGCAATTTAAGCCTGTTTGTGGTGTAGGCATACAGTCACCTAGAGACCCTAGTTTGTTGTTTGAGGCTGCACCATGGTCACCTGCAGACCCTGGGTGGCTGACTGAGGCTGCACCATGGTCACCTGCAGACCCTGGGTGGCTGACTGAGGCTGCGCCAAGGTCACATGCAGACCCTGGGTGGCTGACTGAGGCTGCACCATGGTCACCTGCAGACCCTGAGTGGCTGACTGAGGCTGCGCCAAGGTCACATTCAGACCCTGGGTGGCTGACTGAGGCTGCGCCATGGTCACCTGCAGCCCCTGGGTGGCTGGCTGAGGCTGTGCCATGGTCACCTGCAGCCCCTGGGTGCCTAGCTGAGGCTGCACCATGGTCACCTACAGCCCCTGGGTGGCTGACTGAAGCTGCGCCATGGTCACCTGCAGACCCTGGGTGGCTGGCTGAGGCTGCACCATGGTCACCTACAGCCCCTGGGTGGCTGACTGAAGCTGCGCCATGGTCACCTGCAGACCCTGGGTGGCTGACTGAGGCTGCACCATGGTCACCTGCAGACCACGCCCAACTCTAAGCCCCCCTTCTTGTCCCTTGGTCCTCGTGCGCCATGGTCACCTGCAGACCCTGGGTGGCTGGCTGAGGCTGCACCATGGTCACCTACAGCCCCTGGGTGGCTGACTGAAGCTGCGCCATGGTCACCTGCAGACCCTGGGTGGCTGACTGAGGCTGCACCATGGTCACCTACAGCCCCTGGGTGGCTGACTGAAGCTGCGCCATGGTCACCTGCAGACCCTGGGTGGCTGACTGAGGCTGCACCATGGTCACCTGCAGACCACGCCCAACTCTAAGCCCCCCTTCTTGTCCCTTGGTCCTCGTGCGCCATGGTCACCTGCAGACCCTGGGTGGCTGGCTGAGGCTGCACCATGGTCACCTACAGCCCCTGGGTGGCTGACTGAAGCTGCGCCATGGTCACCTGCAGACCCTGGGTGGCTGACTGAGGCTGCACCATGGTCACCTGCAGACCACGCCCAACTCTAAGCCCCCCTTCTTGTCCCTTGGTCCTCGGGCAATGCCCTTTTTAGAGAAAATTTTCAAATGTTCATGTGGGCGGAGTCAGGCTGAGCACAGGTGTTTAGTTGCTCAAAATCAAGCTGCTCAAAATCAATAACATTCTGCGAGGAACACCACCTGTAAAAAAGAAGTTTTTCTCTCACAAAATCCACATAAGTCTGATTGTACTTTTTTCTTAATTTACGAAACTTCTCCCGGTATGCTTTGGGAACCATTTCAAACTATCTGCAGCTGAAAGTGCGGCGTAGGCCTCCTGAGCTTTACCCGTCAAAGTGCATTGTAGCAACAAAGTCCAAACATCTCTTGGCCGTTTTAACGTGTCCGCTATCCTCTCAAAAATAGTGAAGTATTTATCCACATCTTTCTCATTAAATTGAGGGACTAAACAAATGTTTTTACTCACATCAAATTCTGCTGGTCTGGGCTCTCTATATCTCAGCTCCAATTCCCGCAAACGAATCCCTGCGTCCAACTCTTTTGCTTTTAATGCAATTCGCTCCGACTCCACTTCCAACTCCTTCAGCCGAAGAGCTTCATCCCCAGTCCTGGATGAAGAACGTGGGCTTCCAGACAAGACGGCTGCGGGAAATACACCCTTTTGCACCAATGCTGACAGCAAATCCGCTTTCAACACCGCCTATTTAGCCTGTCTTGAAACAGCGACTTTCACATGTTCAGCAATAACAATTAATTGCTCCTTCGTGCATTTATGAAAGGCCTCCAAAGTGGGCGCCTCAAACTCATCAAGTTATTATGGGCGGCAGTAGCTCAGTTGGTAGAGCGTTGGCCTTTGAGCCAGAAGGTCGTGGGTTCAAGCCCCGCTCAAGACTTTCACCATCGACTCCCACTGACTACTGTCGTTGTGTCCTTGGCAAGACACTTAACCTCTGGGAACACCAGCCACAGTGGGGCGGCTGCGGCTGTAAAGTGCCAAACTGCCGTTGTGTCCTTAGGCAAGACACTTCACCCCCATTGCCTAGAATGAGTCTGGTGTGTGTGTGAATGGTTGGTGGTGGTCGGAGGGGCCGATGGCACATACTGGTTGCCTCGCTTCTGTCAGTGTGCCCCAGGGCAGCTGTGGCTACATTAGTAGTTTATCACCACCGTGTATGGAGTGAATGAATAATGACACATGTGAAGCGTCTTTGAGTGTCCAAAAAAGCGCTATATAAAACCGATGCATTATTATTATTATTATTATTAAGTTGAAATTCCATTTTCAACAAGAATCCCGCTGTCTGTACCAAACTAGACATGCAGCAAAATGCGACCCACACACAAAACCCTACTCTCGGTCTCTAGTCTATACCTGCACAAACCAACGAACAAAGTTGTTACCTAAACATAGTAAAAAAATTGCCAAATTATGCCACAAAAAATACACGAAACCAAAGGGGAAAAGGTGCCCAAACACAACAATGTCAATAATGTAAATGGTACTCTGTGGTAAAGTTTAGCTACAAGTATAGAGTCAAGCATACCAAAGGCAATCAAAGCTAACGAAAACTTAACAGTCACAAAATGTCCCTTCTAGAAGAACAAACAGACAACCTCACAAGCGCACCATGCAAAACTAGTTTATGTGAAAGAAAGTTAACAGACAAAGGTGAAGAGATGCAAACCCAGGATATCAAAAAACGTATAAAAGCTTTCAACAAAGCATATGATTCTTGGAAGCTAATAGCACGGGAAACTAGAACTAAATCCCTCTGCTCAGTAGAAGACCTCAATACACTGCAGCAAAATATTGAAGTAAAGCACACTGCTGTAAGTACACATGTAGTAGTTTAGAAAAGGCCTCATTAAAGGTTTTTTTGTGTGAAAACAGACACCCACTCTATTTCTTTGTGTTTTTATAAGTCTTTCATTTTGGGTAACATACTCACTCCAACCAGTAGATGGTGCTGTAGCGCTACTGTGGGTACGAGAGGGACAGCGTAGGCAGCTCTTGGTATTAAAGAAACTGTGGCCAGACTAAGGTCCCGTCCCAATTCTCACCGTTGCCCTAGATTTTGCGCGTGCCTGCGGGGGTTGTAGGGTGTCCCAATACTTATGGTGCTTTCAGACCGCCAACGCTGAAACGCACATTCTCTAGTTTTCAGACGCAGGGGTCTTCAGATCAGAAGTCCTGGTCCTCTGATGCTAACAGAGTTTAGCTAGCAGCTTCTTGTGTAAAGATCTTCTCCAATAATGCAGCGTGTCTGTGTTCAGAGACCTTCCACAGACTTTATATAACAGTAGTATGTGTTCACGGAGGTGCGCTATAAGTTTATTTTATTATTAAACGGTACTTCTGCATCGGCGAACACACTCGAAACAGTTGCATAAAGTCACGAGAGATTGAAAACGCATATGTTCACAAGCACTATGTCCCCCATTGTCAACCTTGGTGTATCTCCTTTTTTGGCTGTTTACAGTATTTTCAGTCTACTTGCTCAGTCCGCTAATGTCCCCGTGACCACTTTGCGGCTCTGATTGGTCGCTGCACGAGCGTCCCGAGGAAAGGTGGAGCAAAATTAATCTCCTACGTTCCTCCCATAGACTGTATATATTAATGGACAGAGTCACTTTTATCTCCGCCGTTCTAACTAATGGGCCAAAAAAGGTGCTCTACTGGAGCAATCCAATATGGCCGCGAGTGGTCCCACCCACAAGAAAATTGTGAAAAAACATATCTGCGCATGCGTCAGCCGGCGAGAGCTCCATTCATTTGACCGAGAGACTTCAAAAATTCACAGCGAGTAAACTAGAGTGGACCAGAACACTCCCCTCAGCATTGACACACATGTGGAACAGAGCTTTGGTAATAGTAAGTAAGTAAGTAAGTAAGTTATTATTTATATACCGCCTTTTCACTGCAGATCTGAGTCTCAAAGCGGTTTACAATTGTTAATTTTGGGCATTTGTCTCTCACTCCACACAGAGATGGGAGCGGGGCCAGTACAGGAGGCACATGCCAGCACTATTGGACATATTTTTAGTGGTAGGGGAAACCGGAGTACCCGGAGGAAACCTACGCAGACACGGGGAGAAGCATGTCAGCGCACGTCATTTTGGCCACTTTTGAGCCGAAACCCGCCCCCACTGGTTCCTCCCCTTCAACTTCCCCGCGCAGTCCGTGCGTGCATTCAGAGACGCCCGTGCGTTTTGACTCTCGAATGCGCGTCACCATTGACTTTGCATTGAAAGCCAACGCAACGCATGATCCGGTCTGAACGCGGCACTAGGGAGAAGATGCAAGGGCCTTCACACCCTTAAAAGTTTTAAAATCCCCAAATAGAATGGGAACACCAAATATGGGTTTTGTTCATCGCTATGGTAACAGCCCCAACTTAGGTGTGAGTTCTATTTCCATGGCGACGAATGACATAGAGAATAGAATCTCTGAAGGATGGTGATGTCACTCCGTCTCCATGGCGACTGATGACATAGAGAATAGAATCTCTGAGGTAACTGAGTTTTCCCCAGAGGGACAGCACCCTGGTTGGATACACTTAATTCTCACGAAGCAACAGGTGGAGTAAGTCCTTGATCAGAAAGACGACAATCGATCTAAATACGTTAGCAGCTAAGACTTAAGTTTATCTTAAAGTGTTTGTTAGAGATGGATAGGAAAAATAACAAAATGAGGGGGAATAAACCTCCTCAACCTCTACAAGAGGACGCTATTTTCAAGGGTCTGGATCCTGCGGTTCAGGAGTTCTTGAATTGGAAGATCAAGAAAATGAACGAAGTTATGAATCACAAATCCAAAAGCTTCCAAGAAATCATAGAAAACAAACTGATGGAGATCCAGACGCTGAAGGCGACACTGGCAAAGTTAAAGAGCGATCAGGAGCAGGCGGCGAGAGCGCGAGACTCGCCCAGTCTCGAGCTCAAAGCTCTCAAAACTGAACTGCTGCGACACAAGTCCAAGAACGAGATGCTGCAGAAGGAAAGTGCCGAAGCCAGTGCTCTCGTCAAGAAGCACAAGAAAGACTGCGAGAAATCAGACAAGAAAGTCTTGGAGCTGAAGGCCATGTACGCGGAACAGAAGGACAAGTACGAGAAACAGCTGTCAGAACAGGCCAACGCTCAAGCCAAGAGAGTGGACGAACTTAAGAAACTGAACAAGGCATTGAAAGAGGACCTGAGCCTTCAGAGCAGAGACTGGGAGAAGAACAAAAACAGTTAGTCTGCAACTGTAGCTGAAAAAAATAGCAAGATCGCTGAACTGTCGGCTCAGCTTAAAGAGTATCAGGATAAGACGAGAAAGTTTGATGACAACACCAAAAAGAGAGACTCGATTCTAGACGCGATGGAGTGTTTGTACCACATAGACGTGGACGACTTGCGCAAAGACAACTGCAACTTAAACGAAGAGGTGAACTCTCTCTCTGTCGACATCGCGGAAAGAGAGAAAGAGATCGCTAAGTTGAAAGATGAGAAAAGATTCATGCGCAAAACCCTGCGCGAGAAAGACCACGAGCTCTTTGTGCGCGACAAGGAAAGTAAGCTGACAAGCAAGGTTCTGAACACAGAGGAAACCAAAGGCGTCATGCTGGAAACCAAGCGCAAAAACGACATTAGTACAATCCAGAATCTGCAAAGTGAGAAAAGCAAACTGGAGGAGCAGCTGAAGAAGACTAAAGCTGAGCTGCAGGCGACACGGCAGCAGTACAACGGCGCCAGCTACAAGATCAGAAGTCTCAGACATCAAGTCAAATCGTGCGAACCGACGATCGCAGAAGAGAAAGACCGCTTTGTGCTCTTGGAGAAGAAGTTAGGTGCGGTTATGGGGAGTTTGAGCGGTTGTAAAGACGTACTGGAAGAGCCCAGACAGCTCAAGACCAAAGTGGAAGCCATGATCGCCCAGTTTCTCCACGGACACAACGCGCCACCGGAGAAAGAGACAGCAATTCTGCAAGTTATGCTGAAAAACAACATTCTCCGCTCCCAGAGAACCATGAACCATTACCGCGCAGAGACCGAGAGAAACAACGCCATCATGAGTAATAGACTGGCCATGGTGGAAAAGTCCAGGGATCAACTGGTTCCCATCGTGAACGCGCAGAGGATGGAGATTCTAAAGACCAAGAAGAAGGAGCCCAAACCAGTCAAGACCCCAGTGACCAAGAAAGTCACCAAAAAGAAGCGATCTTAAATTGTTTTGAGAACCGTGCAAAGCTCCACTAACTCAGCCGCCAGCGATAGATACGAAATCTAAACATTAGGAGTTAATGGTTGTCTTGTGGGATACAAGGCACATTTAACATCTTTTAAAGTCATCATATAATGCGAGAAGCCGTTTTCTCTCACTCCTCAGACCACTACAGGCGTCCCACTGGTTTAACTTACTTTGTTTACCGTTTTTTTGTTCTGGGTCCGGGATAGTTTGATCACAGAGTCAGAAATGCAGAAAGATATGGTGAAAAAAGTAGAAAACAAGTGGAATTGTTGCGGTGGTCAGAGGGGCCGGGGTGAAGCAATGGTGGCTCATATTTAAAATGGATGACAATGATCATTTCCTGATTTTATTTTTATGGTTTGACTGTTTGCACTCGCTGGTATAATACAGAAAGGGTGGGACTATACTCTCTCTTAGCGCCATTAGTGGTTAATAATAGTCTACATTAACTTGCACTGATTCAAAAGAAAGACAAGTTCTCTGGTTTGCACGAAAAACCTCTACAATAGTTTGACTGTGGGACATCGGATGAAAGGAAAACTTGAATAAAAATGTGAGCAATAAAAAATCAAAGGTCTTTTTGCGTTGATATTTTTATTGGGGGCGACAGTGACTCAGATAGTAGAGCATTGGCCTTTGAGCCTGAAGGTCGTGGGTTTGAGCCCACCGCAGGATCTTCTCCACCGACTCCACTGATGTCTGCTGTCGTTAAAAAACACTTGATTTAAGCATTTATTACGTCATATTTCCTCATGCTGGAAACGGCGGCAAGTCCTGCGTAGCTCTGAAACAGTTGTTTTCTTTACTTAGTATTGTTTTTCACCTGAGATGTTGCTGCAGTACAGTGTTCATGGTTTTGCACTGGTCCAGACCATAGCGGAGAGGATTCATGGTCCGAAACAAGCAGATCAACAACTTGCAATGCTAAAAAAGCCTTCAGCCTCTAACTTTGACCGACTAGAGCAGAGAAAAAGGTCCGAACCAAACGGTTACTCCCCCTCTGCTGCTGTGACCTAAAGTGCTGTTGCATTTTAATACTTTTGTCAACTATTTTTAGGATTATTTGTTCATTGGTTTTGTTTGTATGGCTGGATGTGTTTCTGCTGTTCCTGGACACGAGAATTTTTCCTACAGAGATCAATAAAGTATCTATCTATCTATTTCTTTTGCAATGTTGTTAGATATTGAATAAGGCCAACCAGTGTGTGTTTAACGAATACCAATGAACAGTTAACCATAAATTATACAGTAATTACCACTTAGTTAGCTGTAAATTAGTGAGGGATAATGTAAACTCACACTTAAGTTAAGCACTTTAATGATCTTGAATTGAATCAGTTTCAGTTGATCGATTTCATTGTTTCTTGTCCTTTTTTTAGCCTTTTTTGTTTATGTTGTTGTCTGGTGCACACTGAGGACTCTTGCACTTGTATTCCAATCTGGTTTTACTGCAAATGTCAAATGAAATAATCTGAATCTCTCTCTGCTGGTACGAACGGCTGTGTGACTGGTGCCTGGACTCACTGGATGTACCGGTGCAGCTCCTGCTTGCTGCAGCGGGACCAGTGGTAGCGGTGGAAGGCGGCCTGCACCAGGGGAGCCATGATGCTGCCCATGGTCGTCTCATCTGCACAGCGGTTTCCCTGACCATCATGCTCCATGCCCAACCTGCACACAGCCACAAGCAACATACCGGCAGGCAGGGATTTGATCATGGTCTCCCTGGGCTCACTCTGGTCTATAGTATATCTCTCTGGTGTTATTCTGGTCTCTCTCTGGTCTGTCTTAGGTTTTTGGTTTCTTCCTGGTTGAATTCTTGTCTCTTTAGTCTCCTTCTGGCCCCTCTCAATTCTCTCTCTCTCTCTGGTCTCTTTCTCTCAGTGGTCTATCTTTCTGATCTCTTTTGTCCTCTCTCTGGTCCCCCTCTAGTCTTTCTCTGGTCTCTCTCTCTAGTTTCTCTCTAATCTCTTTTTCTCTGATCCCTTTATGATTTCTCTCTCTCCCTTGTCTCTCTGGACTCTCTGGTCCTCGGGCAATGCCCTTTTTAGAGAACATTTTCAAATGTTCATGTGGGCGGAGTCAGGCTGAGCACAGGTGTTTAGTTGCTCAAAATCAATAACATTCTGCGAGGAACACCACCTGTAAAAAAGAAGTTTTTCTCTCACAAAATCCACATAAGTCTGATTGTACTATTTTATTAATTTACGAAACTTCTCCCGGTATGCTTTGGGAACCATGTCAAACTAACTGCAGCTGAAAGTGTGGCGTAGGCCTCCTGAGCTTTACCCGTCAAAGTGCATTGTAGCAACAAAGTCCAAACATCTCTTGGCCGTTTTAACGTGTCCGCTATCCTCTCAAAAATATTTATCCACATCTTTCTCATTAAATTGAGGGACTAAACAAATGTTTTTACTCACATCAAATTCTGCTGGTCTGGGCTCTCTATATCTCAGCTCCAATTCCCGCAAACAAATCCCTGCGTCCAACTCTTTTGCTTTTAATGCAATTCGCTCCGACTCCACTTCCAACTCCTTCAGCCGAAGAGCTTCATCCCCAGTCCTGGATGAAGAACGTGGGCTTCCAGACAAGATGGCTGCGGGAAATACACCCTTCTACACCAATGCTGACAGCAAATCCGCTTTCAACACCGCCTATTTAGCCTGTCTTGAAACAGCGACTTTCACATGTTCAGCAATAACAATTAATTGCTCCTTCGTGCATTTATGAAAGGCCTCCAAAGTGGGCGCCTCAAACTCATCAAGTTGAAATTCCATTTTCAACAAGAATCCCGCTGTCTGTACCAAACTAGACATGCGTCAAAATGCGACCCACACACAAAACCCTACTCTCGGTCTCTAGTCTATACCTGCGCAAACCAACGAACAAAGTTGTTACCTAAACAAAGTAAAAAAATTACCAAATTATGCCACAAAAAAAGACACAAAACCAAAGGGGAAAAGGTGCCCAAACACAACAATGTCAATAATGTAAATGGTACTCTGTGGTAAAGTTTAGCTACAAGTATAGAGTCAAGCATACCAAAGGCAATCAAAGCTAACGAAAACTTAACAGTCACAAAATGTCCCTTCTAGAAGAACAAACAGACAACCTCACAAGCGCACCATGCAAAACTAGTTTATGTGAAAGAAAGTTAACAGACAAAGGTGAAGAGATGCAAACCCAGGATATCAAAAAACGTATAAAAGCTTTCAACAAAGCATATGATTCTTGGAAGCTAATAGCACGGGAAACTAGAACTAAATCCCTCTGCTCAGTAGAAGACCTCAATACACTGCAGCAAAATATTGAAGTAAAGCACACTGCTGTAAGTACACATGTAGTAGTTTAGAAAAGGCCTCATTAAATGTTTTTTTGTGTGAAAACAGACACCCACTCTATTTCTTTGTGTTTTTATAAGTCTTTCATTTTGGGTAACATACTCACTCCAACCAGTAGATGGTGCTGTAGCGCTACTGTGGGTACGAGAGGGACAGCGTAGGCAGCTCTTGGTATTAAAGAAACTGTGGCCAGACTAAGGTCCCGTCCCAATTCTCACCGTTGCCCTAGATTTTGCGCGTGCCTGCGGGGGTTGTAGGGTGTCCCAATACTTATGGTGCTTTCAGACCGCCAACGCTGAAACGCACATTCTCTAGTTTTCAGACGCAGGGGTCTTCAGATCAGAAGTCCTGGTCCTCTGATGCTAACAGAGTTTAGCTAGCAGCTTCTTGTGTAAAGATCTTCTCCAATAATGCAGCGTGTCTGTGTTCAGAGACCTTCCACAGACTTTATATAACAGTAGTATGTGTTCACGGAGGTGCGCTATAAGTTTATTTTATTATTAAACGGTACTTCTGCATCGGCGAACACACTCGAAACAGTTGCATAAAGTCACGAGAGATTGAAAACGCATATGTTCACAAGCACTATGTCCCCCATTGTCAACCCTGGTGTATCTCCTTTTTTGGCTGTTTACAGTATTTTCAGTCTACTTGCTCAGTCCGCTAATGTCCCCGTGACCACTTTGCGGCTCTGATTGGTCGCTGCACGAGCGTCCCGAGGAAAGGTGGAGCAAAATTAATCTCCTACGTTCCTCCCATAGACTGTATATATTAATGGACAGAGTCACTTCTATCTCCGCCGTTCTAACTAATGGGCCAAAAAAGGTGCTCTACTGGAGCTATCCAATATGGCCGCGAGTGGTCCCACCCACAAGAAAATTGTGAAAAAACATATCTGCGCATGCGTCAGCCGGCGAGAGCTCCATTCATTTGACCGAGAGACTTCAAAAATTCACAGCGAGTAAACTAGAGTGGACCAGAACACTCCCCTCAGCATTGACACACATGTGGAACAGAGCTTTGGGCCAAGAGCCAACTTTTGGACCATCCTGTAAAGACGTTTTCGAGAGGTCTGCCAATGCTATATGTTAGCATTGGCTAATTCTACTTCTGGGTCCACCCCCATCGGCCCGGGGTGGTATTGCAGCATGTCAGCGCACGTCATTTTGGCCACTTTTGAGCCGAAACCCGCCCCCACTGGTTCCTCCCCTTCAACTTCCCCGCGCAGTCCGTGCGTGCATTCAGAGAGGCCCGTGCGTTTTGACTCTCGAATGCACCTCACCATTGACTTTGCATTGAAAGCCAACGCAACGCATGATCCGGTCTGAACGCGGCACTAGGGAGAAGATGCGAGGGCCTTCACACCCTTAAAAGTTTTAAAATCCCCAAATAGAAAAGGAACACCAAATATGGGTTTTGTTCATCGCTATGGTAACAGCCCCAACTTAGGTGTGAGTTCTATTTCCATGGCGACAGATGACATAGAGAATAGAATCTCTGAAGGATGGTGACGTCACTCCGTCTCCATGGCGACTGATGACATAGAGAATAGAATCTCTGAGGTAACTGAGTTTTCCCCAGAGGGACAGCACCCTGGTTGGATACACTTAATTCTCACGAAGCAACAGGTGGAGTAAGTCCTTGATCAGAAAGACGACAATCGATCTAAATACGTTAGCAGCTAAGACTTAAGTTTAAGTTTATCTTAAAGTGTTTGTTAGAGATGGATAGGAAAAAGAACAAAATGAGGGGGAATAAACCTCCTCAACCTCTACAAGAGGACGCTATTTTCAAGGGTCTGGATCCTGCGGTTCAGGAGTTCTTGAATTGGAAGATCAAGAAAATGAACGAAGTTATGAAACACAAATCCAAAAGCTTCCAAGAAATCATAGAAAACAAACTGATGGAGATCCAGACGCTGAAGGCAACACTGGCGAAGTTAAAGAGCGATCAGGAGCAGGCGGCGAGAGCGCGAGACACGCCCAGTCTCGAGCTCAAAGCTCTCAAAACTGAACTCCTGCGACACAAGTCCAAGAACGAGACGCTGCAGAAGGAAAGTGCCGAAGCCCGTGCTCTCGTCAAGAAGCACAAGAAAGACTGCGAGAAATCAGACAAGAAAGTCTTGGAGCTGAAGGCCATGTACGCGGAACAGAAGGACAAGTACGAGAAACAGCTGTCAGAACAGGCCAACGCTCAGGCCAAGAGAGTGGACGAACTTAAGAAACTGAACAAGGGATTGAAAGAGGACCTGAGCCTTCAGAGCAGAGACTGGGAGAAGAACAAAAACAGTTTGTCTGCAACTGTAGCTGAAAAAAATAGCAAGATCGCTGAACTGTCGGCTCAGCTTAAAGAGTATCAGGATAAGACGAGAAAGTTTGATGACAACACCAAAAAGAGAGACTCGATTCTAGACGCGATGGAGTTTTTGTACCACATAGACGTGGACGACTTGCGCAAAGACAACTGCAACTTAAACGACGAGGTGAACTCTCTCTCTGTCGACATCGCGGAAAGAGAGAAAGAGATCGCTAAGTTGAAAGATGAGAAAAGATTCATACGCAAAACCCTGCGCGAGAAAGACCACGAGCTCTTTGTGCGCGACAAGGAAAGTAAGCTGACAAGCAAGGTTCTGAACACAGAGGAAACCAAAGGCGTCATGCTGGAAACCAAGCGCAAAAACGACATTAGTACAATCCAGAATCTGCAAAGTGAGAAAAGCAAACTGGAGGAGCAGCTGAAGAAGACTAAAGCTGAGCTGCAGGCGACACGGCAGCAGTACAACGGCGCCAGCTACAAGATCAGAAGTCTCAGACATCAAGTCAAATCGTGCGAACCGACGATCGCAGAAGAGAAAGACCGCTTTGTGCTCTTGGAGAAGAAGTTAGGTGCGGTTATGGGGAGTTTGAGCGGTTGTAAAGACGTACTGGAAGAGCCCAGACAGCTCAAGACCAAAGTGGAAGCCATGATCGCCCAGTTTCTCCAAGGACACAACGCGCCACCGGAGAAAGAGACAGCAATTCTGCAAGTTATGCTGAAAAACAACATTCTCCGCTCCCAGAGAACCATGAACCATTACCGCGCAGAGACCGAGAGAAACAACGCCATCATGAGTAATAGACTGGCCATGGTGGAAAAGTCCAGGGATCAACTGGTTCCCATCGTGAACGCGCAGAGGATGGAGATTCTAAAGACCAAGAAGAAGGAGCCTAAACCAGTCAAGACCCCAGTGACCAAGAAAGTCACCAAAAAGAAGCAATCTTAAATTGTTTTGAGAACCGTGCAAAGCTCCACTAACTCAGCCGCCAGCGATAGATACGAAATCTAAATATTAGGAGTTAATGGTTGTTAAATGTGTCTTGTGGGATACAAGGCACATTTAACATCTTTTAAAGTCATATAATGCGAGAAGCCGTTTTCTCTCAGTCCTCAGACCACTACAGGCGTCCCACTGGTTTAACTTACTTTGTTTACCGTTTTTTTGTTCTGGGTCTGGGATAGTTTGATCACAGAGTCAGAAATGCAGAAAGATATGGTGAAAAAAGTAGAAAACAAGTGGAATTGTTGCGGTGGTCAGAGGGGCCGGGGTGAAGCAATGGCGGCTCATAATTAAAATGGATGACAATGATCAATTCCTGATTTTGTTTTTATGGTTTGACTGTTTGCACTCGCTGGTATAATACAGAAAGGGTGGGACTATACTCTCTCTTAGCGCCATTAGTGGTTAATAATAGTCTACATTAACTTGCACTGATTCAAAAGAAAGACAAGTTCTCTGGTTTGCACGAAAAACCTCTACAATAGTTTGACTGTGGGACATCGGATGAAAGGAAAACTTGAATAAAAATGTGAGCAATAAAAAATCAAAGGTCTTTCTGCGTTGATATTTTTATTGGGGGCGACAGTGACTCAGATAGTAGAGCATTGGATCGGCGAACACACTCGAAACAGTTGCATAAAGTCACGAGAGAATGAAAACGCATATGTTCACAAGCACTATGTCCCCCATTGTCAACCCTGGTGTATCTCCTTTTTTGGCTGTTTACAGTATTTTCAGTCTACTTGCTCAGTCCGCTAATGTCCCCGTGACCACTTTGCGGCTCTGATTGGTCGCTGCACGAGCGTCCCGAGGAAAGGTGGAGAAAAATTAATCTCCTGCGTTCCTCCCATGGACTATATTAACGGACAGAGTCCCACCTATCTCCGCCGTTCTAACTAATGAGCCAAAAAAAGTGCTCTACTGGAGCTATCCAAAATGGCCACGAGTGGTCCCACCCACAAGAAAAAAACGCATCTGCGCATCCGTCAGCCGGCGAGAGCTCCATTCATTTGACCGAGAGACTTCAAAAATTCACAGTGAGTAAACTAGACTGGTCCAAAACACTCCCCTCAGCATTGACACACATGTGGAACGGAGCTTTGGGCCAAGAGCCAACTTTTAGACCATCCTGTAAAGACGTTTTTGAGAGCTATATGTTAGCATTGGCTAATTCTACTTCTGGGTCCACCCCCATCGGCCCGGGGTGGTATTGCAGCATGTCAGCGCACGTCATTTTGGCCACTTTTGAGCCGAAACCCGCCCCCACTGGTTCCTCCCCTTCAACTTCCCCGCGCAGTCCGTGCGTGCATTCAGAGACGCCCGTGCGTTTTGACTCTCGAATGCGCGTCACCATTGACTTTGCATTGAAAGCCAACGCAACGCATGATCCGGTCTGAACGCGGCACTAGGGAGAAGATGCGAGGGCCTTCACACCCTTAAATATCAATCCTTGAAAGCGAGATCCAGGGTGATCCCATGATGCATTATGATAGTTATTGGTAAAGTAGCTGTTGGCCAAAGCCGCGGCACAATCAAAGAAAATAACATGAAACACCCGGGCGCAAGTTTGTGCCGAACGTGAGGAAGCTCTGAAGCGTGTGCGAGTCTTTCAGAGTTTTTAAAGCGTGTGTTGGTGCCGTGTGCGGTGACGATCGCGCCCGAAGTGGCTGCAGTGTGTGGCGTTCACTGAGGCTTCAGAGACGTGGTGCATGTTATTATCCTAGATCCATGTTATTATAGATCCATGATGTAGTTCATTGCTTTGTGATCCACGGGACCGCGACTGTACCCGTCTGTCTCTGTGCGTGTATGTGTATGTACATGTGTCTGTATCTGTACGTGTATGTGTATGTGTATGTACATGTGTCTGTATCTGTACGTGTATGTGTATGTGTATGTACATGTGTCTGTATCTGTACGTGTATGTGTATGTACATGTGTCTGTATCTGTACGTGTATGTGTATGTACATGTGTCTGTATCTGTACGTGTATGTACATCAGGGGTCTCCAACCTGTAGCTCGGGAGCCACCAGAAGCTCGCAACCCCCTTCCAGGTAGCTCGCCAAAGGATTTAGAAATAAACAAATCAAATAATATACTTTACTTTTATAGTATACTTTATACTTTAATATACTCTCATTTTGTGCAGTAGTAAAGAAATATGTGGTGATAAATAATGACAGTACCCAATATCAGGCTTATTCACTCCAATATACAGTATCAGCAATTTTGTTCCAAGGGCGCTTAAAGGAGTAGCTCTCTGCCTTTATCGTCCCGGGAAAGTAGCTCTCTGGATGAAAAAGGTTGGAGATACCTGGGGCCGTATTCCTAAAGATTCTAAGAGTCCTCTCAGAGAGCTCCTATCTTAACCTAAAAACTCCTAGCTAGGAGTCTTAGCTTAAAAGTTATTCCAGAACAATGGGCCTCATTCACGAACGGTTCTTAGGAACAGATTTGTACGTAAATCCTACTTACGCGGTTTTTACAAAGAAAGTGGCATTCACGAATATTTCTCGTAACCAGAATTTCTCTTGGGCAAGTACAAATCCTACGAGTCCTCAGGAGCACTCGTACGCATTCAGTGCCGACATGTTCACAGCCGGGGTTGCCCTCTTTGGTGAAGTTGAATAAAAATACAACATTCCAGTGATATGTCCGTCGTATCGATGTATGTATTTATTTATTTGTATTAATCTTTATTAGTAATCTTTATTTATATACCGCCTTTTTCACTGCAGATCTGGCCTACTTTTTAATTCATTTTGAAATGAAATGTGCCAACGCTTTATCAAATACATTGGAAATCTTGCCGTGTATTAGTGACCCCTTCCTATTTATAGGGGGCATTTCTTTATCCACGGGCCACAGAACAACGGCATATATACTGCTGCTGCAGGAGGTTACTGGGTCCGCGCTGAGTCTCTGCGCTGGTCTCTCCCATGGATCTATACGGGTCTGCACTGGTCTCTCCCATGGATCTATACGGGTCTGCACTGGTCTCTCCCATGGATCTATACTGGTCTGCACTGGTCTCTCCCATGGATCTATACTGGTCTGCACTGGTCTCTCCCATGGATCTAGACGGGTCTGCACTGGTCTCTCCCATATACGGGTCTGCACCGGTCTCTCCAGTCAGGTCACTCCAGTCTATGCGGTCTCTCCTATAGGTCCGCGCTGGTTTCTGTGTGCTGGTCACTCCAGTCTCTCCTCGGGTCTGCATTGGTCTCAGCGCTGGTCCGCGCTGGATCTCCTCCCAGGGTCCAAAATATTTTGAGATTAATCTCAAAACATTTTGAGATTCATCTTTAAAATAATACATAATATTTTTTAATGAAGCTCATAACATTTTGAGATTAATCTCATCATATTCTTAGATTAATCTCATTTTGCTAGTTCGACTTTATTATCATAATATTTCAACTTTTAAGTCAACATTTTATAACTTTATTCTCAGTCTGGTAAAAGAAGAAAAAAGGGTGAATCTTTTGCTCCGTGGCCTGTTGCTTTAGGCCTGTTGCTGTTTCCTCTGCCGTCTGCACACGGCCCTGCAGTCCCTTATATGGGCATTAGTGGGCGGTTACTTATGCTAAGTACCTATGCTAATGAAGCACCTGGCACGCGCGCTGTACTTACGAGGAAATGGGATTCATCAATCTGAGAGAACAGCTGCGAACAATTCAGCGGCTTACGAGTGCGTTGATGAATCCCACGTAGGGACTTCTTAGAAATCTACTTAAGGACAACTTGAGAAGAAAGTTGAGTAGTTTCTTACGAAGTTATTCGTGAATGAGGCCCAATCTTAGAGAACTCTGAGCAAGGAATGGACCACAACTTTTATCTTAGTGAGGAGGCGTGGCCGACCCCGTTGCTAGGTATGAGTCATAACTACAGACGCTGTGATTGGTTGATCCTAAAAGTTGGAGAAAACATACTTTTGGTGATACTGGGTGAAATAAGGACCCTCAAATGGACACATTTATTCATGGAGTCTAAACTTAGGAAGACTGTGTCATTGTTAATAATATTCCACATACAATAGATATATAGATAGTGTTTATGTTGATTCAAGCCACAATAACCTTGACAAAAGCACACAATATCAGCATTAACAGAAAGATATTTAGATAGATAGATAGATACTTAGATAGATAGATGGATAGATGTACTTACAGGAGATAGATGTAGTATTAAATACTTATATATATAGATAGATATATATAAACGTATATAGATAGATTTATAGATATGTCAATGTAAAATGAATGCTGTGAATAGTAAGTTATACTTTTAAATCATCATAAAAAATGTGTGATTACTTGCACAGTATTAACACAGTGATAGTTATATATATTTTCTTATATTAATCTCCATGCTGGTCATTTTTTCTCTTTAAACTTCTGCCATTTCTACTCACTTTGGTGTAACGAGGGTAAAATGCCACAGCTGTGATTGTTGATCAGCCTATAAAAAGCCGTGTTGGTTGACTTTTAAATATACCACAAACAACTGAACAGCATAAGAAAATGGAGAATAAAAGAAAGAGGAAACCCAACTGGACAGAGGAACAGTGTTTGCTTCTGGCTCAATTGGTCAATGAGCATAAAAGTGTTTTGAGGGGTAAATTTGGCCCCACTGTCACAGTGCAAACCAAGAAGCAAGCATGGGAAACTATCGCACAACAGGTAAATGCTTCTTTTCCACTGATTGTGCGGACAAGTGAGGATTGTGAGAAGCGGTGGTATGTGTTGCATTCAAAAGCAAAGGAGGAGATTGCAGCACACAAACGTGAATCTTCACGCACAGGTGAGTGATATACCAGTTATGAATTTGCTAGTAAGTTAAATAAAATGACCATTTATTTGTGTTCATAACTGTTGCTGGATATCGTTTTAGGAGGTGGACCACACGCTAAGCAACAGCTGTCCCAGATTGCAGAAACCGTCTTTAAAATACTGGGGCAGTCAGAAGTTAGCATCACTGGGCTGAGGGAAGGCATTGACTCTTCAATGATGCAAGTCACTGACATGCAACAAAGGTGGGAAAAATTAATGTTTTCATTTTCAACAACACATAGAATTATCAAGAGCACTGTTTATTTGTTCCATACTGTTTATCTTGTGCATGTTCATGCTAAACAAAAAAACAAAACTTATATTAAACCTATTATATTTCACTTTCTGTAGCATGGAACCATCAGAAGAACTGGGCCCCTCAACATCACAGATTGACTCTCAGCCTGAAACATCAGAGTTCAGCCTGGCCGCTGAGGCTGCTGCTTCTCCTCCTGCTCAAACACCATCCCTGCAGGACAGAAGATTGGAATTGACAATGGAGTTCTTCAAACAGCAACACAAAGTTTTATGTCTACAGGAAGAGTACTATTGACTAAAAATTGAGCTCCTGAAAAATAAATCTAATGCCAAATAGATATTGTGTCTTTGTAAGTAATGTGTGTAGTGTTCAACTATTGGTGATTGAGTAAATTAGTACAAGCTTGCAAATTGAAATACTGACTTGCCTGAAATGTAAATCCGTAAAGCGGGCTCTGTAAGGTAGTCCACTTTGGGCCAAGTTCCCCTGTGGCAAGTGAAAATTTGCTTCATCATCGTCATGGCTGTCTCCACCATCCTCAATAGGTGCTGCAATCTGTCTCTCCTTGCAAATGTTGTGCAGTATTGCACAGGCTGTGATGACTTTGCATACTTTATCAGGGGTTAGGCGCACCTCTCCATGGAGAACATGAAAGCGCCTCTTCAGTTGGCCGATGCCACGCTCCACTACTGCCCTTGTTGTCTTATGGGCCCTACAATTTTTGATATTGACATAATCAAAATGTATGTTTTTCAAGGGAACTATTAGAATAATCAATATTCTGTTTACATTTAATTTCCATGTATAATTCTACATTGTGTGGTTTACCTGTTGAAGTTTAGTTGCGGCCCTTGGCGGGGCTGGAGGTAAGGTGTTAGGAGCCATGGTTTGCATGGGTAGTGCAGTAATTTGTCAGAATTCCCCAGCCCCAGAAGCTGCAGAGAGGCCGCAAACACAGCAGCCCTTCGTTCTGCAGGTCCTTTTAGTTCAACAAGAGACAAAAACCAATGTTAAAACAGTAATAGAAATGACAGATACCAAACCTGATTTCAAAAGGTTATATTGAAGATTTGCAAGCAATATTACAAGATAACGGTCCGCGAACAGGTCTCGCTTCGCGTTCAGAAAAGGAGTGGCCCCCGGGGACGTCTCACTGCTCCTTGTCAGAAGAAAAAGCAAAAAGTCTCCCGTGACCGCTCCTGCACATCTCTTATACTTTACATCCAAGGTCACTTGACATCACAACTGTATGGACCCTATGACTCCTTCTGGCCCACTGCCAACGTTTGCACCTGCTCTGATAACCACTTGTCTCCCTCTTGTCCCCCTCCCATTTCATACAGACTAACCTTGAACTCACTGCTCTTTGAGATTTACACAAACAAGTGCTAATTTGGCAACAGAAACAATACTAAACTGATCTTAGTTTTAACTGGTGCAGGAGTTAATATTCCAACAGTCCCCCTGTTGGCCGGAGAGGAACTCTTCGGACATCCATCACTCTCGTCTCAGATGGCCCATCTTCATCAGTTGATCCAGCATTACATCCTATACTCAGTCTAATCCCAGTCTTCACGACGATCTGTGAACTCCTAAACCACCCCATGTGACATTATGAAAAATGTGGTGGTCTTCCACTCAGCCCTTACTTCAGACCCCCCCAAAGGCCTCTGGGCGGACTGAGCATCCAACTCACCCTAAACTACATACATTGAAGTGATCCTATAAAACATTTCAGTCAGGACTTAATGTGGTCATACTTCCTGGTTTTAGTCAGGACTTAAGGTTTTACTTAATGTGGTCATACTTCCTGGTTTTAGTCAGGACTTAATGTGGTCATACTTCCTGGTTTTAGTCAGGACTTAATGTGGTCATACTTCCTGGTTTTAGTCAGGACTTAATGTGGTCATACTTCCTGGTTTTAGTCAGGACTTAATGTGGTCATACTTCCTGGTTTTAGTCAGGACTTAATGTGGTCATACTTCCTGGTTTTAGTCAGGACTTAATGTGGTCATACTTCCTGGTTTTAGTCAGGACTTAATGTGGTCATACTTCCTGGTTTTAGTCAGGACTTAATGTGGTCATACTTCCTGGTTTTAGTCAGGACTTAATGTGGTCATACTTCCTGGTTTTAGTCAGGAACTTTAATGTGGTCATACTTCCTGTTTAGTGTGGACTCATACTTCCTGGTTTTAGTCAGGACTTAATGTCGGACTTAATGTGGTCATACTTCCTGGTTTTAGTCAGGACTTAATGTGGTCATACTTCCTGGTTTTAGTCAGGACTTAATGTGGTCATACTTCCTGGTTTTAGTCAGGACTTAATGTGGTCATACTTCCTGGTTTTAGTCAGGACTTAATGTGGTCATACTTCCTGGTTTTAGTCAGGACTTAATGTGGTCATACTTCCTGGTTTTAGTCAGGACTTAATGGTCATACTTCCTGTGCTTTGTGTGTCATACTTCCTGGTTTTAGTCAGGACTTAATGTGGTCATACTTCCTGGTTTTAGTCAGGACTTAATGTGGTCATACTTCCTGGTTTTTAGTCAGGACTTAATGTGGTCATACTTCCTGGTTTTAGTCAGGACTTAATGTGGTCATACTTCCTGGTTTTAGTCAGGACTTAATGTGGTCATACTTCCTGGTTTTAGTCAGGACTTAATGTGGTCATACTTCCTGGAGCTAGTCAGGACTCGAGCTTTTAAATATACTGTATATCAAATGTAGGCGGCTAAAATCTGGAACAGTCTTCCTGAAAATATGAGACAGGCAGTTTTCAAACCAGGTTATATAGTTGTGTTTGCCTGTGCATACAACTGAAGGATTTTATCTCTACTATTTTTTAATGTACTGTGGTAATTTATGATTTTAATCCCTTGTGTGGTTTTAAAGGTATGTGGGAGGATTTTCTTCTTCTTGGTGGATCATCTAAACCATTGATTTCATGGTAAATGGTATTTGATGTGTTTGGTCTGTTATTATCATTTTCTTGTCCTTGTCATGTCTGTTCACATGTAAAAAATAAATAAATTGGTAGCATTGCTATCTGGGAAATGGAAAAGGTAGTGGCTCTTAGTCTGGCAATTACAGAATAACAAACCAAAGAGTTTTAGAACCAACATCCATGTGTGTAGAGTTAGGTACCCCAGCTTTAGCGTGACTGCATTTGAAAGTAAACTAGTAAGTAATCTTTATTTATATAGCGCCTTTCACAGACCAGAGTCTCAAAGCGGTTTACAATTGTTATTTTTTGGGCATTTGTCTCTCACTCCACACAGAGATGGGAGCGGGGCCAGTACAGGAAGCACATGCCAGAACTATTGTACATGTTTTTAGTGGTAGGGGAAACCGGAGTACCCGGAGGAAACCTACACAGACACGAGGAGAACATGCAAACTCCACTCAGAAAGGCCCTGTTCCGACCCGGATTCGAACGCAGGACCTTCTAGCTGATAAATGAGGTTTATCAGAGGTTAGTTTTACCCCACTGGTGATGTGTTGTTGCAATAGTAATTAATTGCAAAAACTAAACGCCCCTGTGAACAAAATGATACTATATTCTTTCTTTCATGCAGCCCTAATTAACTTTTTAACTGAAATGATGATGTCTGAGTTAGACGTGGCATATATTGAACTAAATTTCGTTTTCACATTGGGCACAACAGGTTTGGCAGGTCTGAGGTTTGAAAAGCTCCTTCAGCCGCAGTGAGACACAGTCTTCCCAACAGCAGCGTCCAGTCCACAGGTAATCACCATAATCATGTTTTTACAATTTAAATAACTTAAATAGTTGCTGTTTATGCACAGCACCAGAGTTCTCGTGTGTGTGTGTGTTTTTAAGAATTATTGCAGGCTTTTAAATTAAATTGTGCTGGATGTTTTGTCAATAGAAACTTACAGATTCATTGCAAAACCTTTTGAATTGACTTTTGATGTTATATTGTTACACTTAGGTCTGGTATGTGCCTCCTGTACTGGCAACCCCGCTCCCATCTCTGTGTGGAGTGAGAAACAAAAAATGGCAAAAAATAACAATTGTAAATCGCTTTGTGACTCTGGTCTGTGAAAGGCGATATATAAATAAAGATTACTTACTTACTTACTTACTTGTTTATTAAAAAAACTGAAAGAAATGTGTAAACAAATTACATTGAAACCATTTGAAACCATTGAAGACCCTTTGGAGTTGTTGTCTCTGTTACCACTTATAATCAGATCATATGTTTGGTAAATATACCAGATATATATATATATATATATATATAATATAAAAGTCTGGTATAGCTGGTGTCTGGGGGTTGTAGAATTTTGGAACACTTCCCCATTCACAGCAGGGCAGTATTTACTTGAACATCAGATTTAGGGACCCGTAATTAAGCACAAAGCTCCAGGAGGAACTCTTTTTGCGTATTTTTGAACTGTTTTGAACTGTTTTGAACTGTTTTGAACTGTTTTGAACTGTTGAAATTGGGAATTCAAGGAGAGGGAGTCGTATCTAACTTGTATTTTAATGTGCAGAATAATCCTTCATCCATCGTAACCATGGCCAAGTATTCAAAGGCGGATCATGTTGTGTGGAGCAGTGGCCTCTGCGACTGTTTCGAGGACTCAAAAACATGTAAGTAAGCATCGTAAGCATTGAGTGAATATGTTATTAAGTGGATCAAGTTGGAGACTCGGCTTGTGTGAGGACAGTGTGTGTGTGTTTTGATAAGTGGGTGTGACCCTTGTGTTGTTATCAGTAAGCCAATCATGTCAACACAAACAAGCCACTGCTGTTTCCACTTTTAGAAGCCTTTGGCGAAAGATACAGTACCTTCTGTTTATTCTTATATGAACACTGTGTCATTGTCATTGGGCGGCACGGTGGCTGAGTGGATAGCACTCTCGCCTCTCAGCAAGAAGGTCCTGGGTTCGAATCCCGGCCGGACCAGGGCCTTTCTGAGTGGAGTTTGCATTTTCTCCCCGTGTCTGCGTAGGTTTCCTCCGGGTACTCCGGTTTCCCCTACCACTAAAAATATGTACAATAGTTCTGGCATGTGCCTCCTGTACTGGCCCCGCTCCCATCTCTGTGTGGAGTGAGAGACAAGTGCCCAAAAAATAACAATTGTAAACCGCTTTGTGACTCTGGTCTGTGAAAGGCGGTATATAAATAAAGCTTACTTACTACTATTGTTGTTGTCATGTGAATAGAGCCATTATTGCAGAAAAATAACTGCAGGATCTATGATATTTCTTTCACTCCTACATGATGGTGATAAACTATTATGTAGCTACAGCTGCCCTGGGGCACACTGACAGAAGCGAGGCAAACAGTCTGTGCCATGGGCCCCTTCGACCACACACAGACTCATTCATATGCAATGTGTGTGAAGTGTCTTGCATAAGGACACAATGACAGTTTGGCACTTAACAACCGCAGCCGCCCATCACAGTACTAACCAGGCCCTGCCTTGCTTAACATGGTCTTTCACATGCAGGTATGGCCAAAGTTGCAGTGAATTTCTAAGAGTATGGGCTTTTACACGTTCTGTTTCTTTCTGTTATAAACTTGAAAAATGTTTTACGTAGATAATGAACTTGTCGTAAACCATTATAATGTGATTCCCTTTGATCCTGGCCGCACTGCGCTGCCACTTCAGAATACTGATTAGAATACTGTTTCTTTTTTATTTTGACACATTCCTGTCTTTCAAGTCTATCCAACATGGGCTCAAATAACATACCACTGTTGTCCTGGGTTTGACTCCACCTGCACCCTTTCTTTTAAGGCAGCTGTGTCTGGCCACTTGTACATATATTAATACATAAACCAAAATAATCATATTCTTAAAGTGGTTCTCACCCCCGCTCCTCGGAGCTTACGTTACTCACATTTCCTGTTCAAATCTTCCTCTAAATGGGCGTGGCCTGGAGGACTAAAGGGGGCGTGAACGAGACTGGGCCGTTTGCATTGCTCTGGGCGGGGGGCTGCTGACGTCAGGTCCAACTTGCAGACGTCAGGTCCAACTTCTGTGCCAGTGTTGGCGCCAGATTCAAAATTCAAATGTAGTAATACAGGTCGCCAGCAGATGGCGCCTCACAGACGGTTTTAGGCAGAAAGCTTAACTTTCAACCAATTTGCACCAAAGTGACAAGATTATGACCAGGATATGTAGACAACACTATTGGACACTCATTTATACCGTTTATCAGCAAAAAAAAGTGGATTTGAGGGTGAGTTGTCCTTTAAGTCCGATTTAGAGGCCAAAATGAACTTACATAATGCTTCATATGGGTTTGTTGACTGACCCCTGGGTCCTTGCAGGCTGCTATGGCTTCTGGTGCTGCCCCTGCCTGGCCTGCACCGTGTCGAGCAGATTCCAGGAGAACCACTGCCTCCCGGTGTGCGACATCCTGAGCCCGGCGATCTTTGCGGCCTGTGGGATTCCTATGTTTGTGCCGCCCGCGGTGTTAAGCCTCCGTGTGGCCATTCGCAACCGCTACAAGATCAAGGTCAGAACCAGAACATGGTCACACACACTTAGGTCAGGGTCTCACCAACCACTGGACCCATGAGGGCGCCTTTAATCAGTCTGTATCAGGATGTAGACGGGGTTTGATGGGATAAGACTGTAGTAAGTTTTTATTTATATACCACCTTTTCACTGCAGATCTGAGTCTCAAAGCGGTTTACAATTGTTAATATTGGGTGTTTGTCTCTCACTCCACACAGAGATGGGAGCGGGGCCAGTACAGGAAGCGCATGCCAGAACTATTGGACATATTTTTAGTGGTAGGGGAAACCGGAGTACCCGGAGGAAACCTACGCAGACACGGGGAGAACATGCAAACTCCACTCAGAAAGGCCCTGGTCCGACCGGGATTCGAACCCAGGACCTTCTTGCTGAGAGGCGAGAGTGCTATCCACTCAGCCACCGTGCCGCCTGGCATGTTGTAGTGAGATATTAGGTTAAATAAATGTATAGATTATTTTTAATATCTATACTATTATTTGTACAGCATCCAAAATACCTGTAAACTGGAAGAACAGTATATTCCTGTATTTTTAAGAGCAATACCAGCACTACACTGTTTTTTAATGGTATTTGATTTTATGTAAAACACTATCATGAACATATTTCACAGAGTACAGTAGAAAAAAGACTGCATGTAAATATTATATGGGTATTACACAGAACTTGTATGTATTTGTCACTTTAACTTCTCAGTTATCTGACATGAACAGTAGATAATACACCCACAACAAAATGGAAATGTGCTTTAACACTTAAACTTTAACACATTTAACACTTCAGTGTTAACATTAATGCTGCTAATTTAAAAGTGGTCACTGAGAAGTCTCTGACGACGACGATCATCACTGGGGAAGATAATGTAGAAGCTTTACTAACTAGATGTAAGAACAAACATGTTTTGTAGATTTAAACCCTGCATTTAAAACATATGAGCTTCACTTACAGTTCCGAGCCGTGTTAGCCTGGTCTTATCCATCCGTACTCTCCGCTCAGTCATCATTTCACTGCATGTAACGTCTGGGTCTGGTCCCTGTGTTAGAGATTACAATCGGTTGAATTTCGACCGACCAATCAGAGAGCGCGGAAGGAGAGTGTTGCAGTTAGTTGTGGGTGACGTCAAGAGTTTGCGTCGAACGGGAAGGTCGTAGTTTGGCGAAAAATGCGATAGTAAAGTAATCCGGTCTGGTTCTATCAAGAAACTGAAGCCGGAGCAAGAGGAATGTTTAGCAAAAGTAATCGCTGGAAAAATTGACAAAGGAGATGGCTAAAGCTAGGCTAAATGCTAAATGCTAACAACAGACTTGGGCACATTACAAACGTCACGGTAAACTCAGATCCAATCGTTTCAATCTGCAAAAGGAGTTAACCCCTCCCACCTGTTCACGGAGTCAATGGAGCAAATCCAGACCTTTAGTACGAAGTGTAATTTGTACTATGGTGTGGTGCGACCAGGCTAGAGCTGTGGAGGAGACGACCATAAAAAAAAGGAAACTTTTGGCATTTATAGTTTTCTGATATAATAAATTGGGCAAAGCAAATCGAGGCAAAGCTCTCGATTTACCGGTCAATCTTCGTTCCCTCCCTCACCTATGGTCATGAGCTTTGGGTAATGACCGAAAGAACGAGATCGCGGATACAAGCGGTCGAAATGAGCTTCCTCCGCAGAGTGGCTGGGCGCTCCCTTAGAGATAGGGTGAGGAGCTCAGTCACACGGGAGGAGCTCGGAGTAGAGCCGCTGCTTCTCCACGTCGAGAGGAACCAGTTGAGGTGGCTCGGGCATCTGTTCCGGATGCCTCCTGGACGCCTCCCTGGGGAGGTGTTCCGGGCACGTCCCACCGGGAGGAGGCCCCGCGGAAGACCCAGGACACGCTGGAGGGACTATGTCTCTCAGCTGGCCTGGGAACGCCTTGGGGTCCCCCCGGACGAGCTGGAGGAGGTGTGTGGATAGGGAAGTCTGGGCGTCTCTGCTTAGACTGCTGCCCCCGCAACCCGGCAACGGATAAAGCGGAAGAAAATGGATGGATGGATGATATAATAAACTGGTAATGTCCTCCACACACATCCAAACTTCCTGAATGGGCAAGAGCAGAAAAGAAAAAATACAAATAAATGAATGCAATCCATGACCCTAGTTTCTGGCTTGAAAACTGTCTGGTTCTATTGTAGGATTCACATGCATAATATTTTTCAAACAGAAAGGGGAAAATGAGACGACCACCCTGGCACTGTACTTCACACTCTTGTACTTGTACTTGTGCATAAACAGCTCTCCTCTGTCACAGGGCAATATCTGCAAGGACATCTGCACGTCCTGCTTCTGCGTCTGGTGCTCCTGGTGTCAGATGCATCGGGAGTTACGAGCGCGAGACAAAGGCCCCACCACAGTGAACGTCACCAACGTGGTCGGCATGCAGCCCGCCCCCTTTGTCAATCAAACCGTCAACATCAGATAACGGCGGTGTTTTGGATTTTTATCTTATATCTTTTATTTATGGATGGTTTTATCGATTAAAAGTTTTAAAGATGGGTAAATGTAATTAAATCAGTCATAAAACTTGACAGAAGTTCATCTCTCTCAAAATAGTTTCACTTTAACATGCATGTAGTCTTGAAATGTATTCAAGAAAAAAAGGTTTTGTCATTTGTACCCCAGCTTTAACTGGACTGAAAAGTAATTGACAAAATGTTGTATGAAACAGTTGATAATAAATGGGTGTCTTCTAATCACGTGTCTGAACATGTGTTTCAACCTTTTGAGCTGAAACCAGGATTATTCTACACATTTGGAATTCATTTCAATGCAAAACAGACCGTGTTTCATCCAATCTACAAATACTCGAGTAGTGCAGACGCCACAGAAGAGGGACAAGTTTGTGCTCCTCGTCCCATTCCTGAGATTTACAGACACTGTGAAAAGTTATGGCGTGAACTAACAAAGCAAACCTTGACAATTACAATACCCTCAGGTGGAGACTTTTGAATAATCAAGTTGTTCATAAGTCAGAGCCTCAGTCAGAGCCTCAGTCAGAGCCTCAGTCAGAGCCTCAGTCAGTGCCTCCGTCAGAGCCTCAGTCAGAGCCTCAGTCAGAGCCTCAGTCAGAGCCTCAGTCAGTGCCTCCGTCAGAGCCTCCGTCAGAGCCTCAGTCAGAGCCTCAGTCAGAGCCTCAGTCAGAGCCTCAGTCAGTGCCTCCGTCAGAGCCTCAGTCAGAGCCTCAGTCAGAGCCTCAGTCAGAGCCTCAGTCAGTGCCTCCGTCAGAGCCTCAGTCAGAGCCTCAGTCAGAGCCTCAGTCAGAGCCTCAGTCAGAGCCTCAGTCAGAGCCTCAGTCAGTGCCTCCGTCAGAGCCTCAGTCAGAGCCTCAGTCAGCGCCTCAGTCAGAGCCTCAGTCAGAGCCTCAGTCAGAGCCTCAGTCAGCGCCTCAGTCAGAGCCTCCGTCAGAGCCTCAGTCAGAGCCTCAGTCAGAGCCTCCGTCAGAGCCTCAGTCAGAGCCTCAGTCAGAGCCTCAGTCAGAGCCTCCGTCAGAGCCTCAGTCAGAGCCTCAGTCAGAGCCTCAGTCAGAGCCTCAGTCAGAGCCTCAGTCAGAGCCTCAGTCAGTGCCTCCGTCAGAGCCTCAGTCAGAGCCTCAGTCAGAGCCTCCGTCAGAGCCTCAGTCAGCGCCTCAGTCAGAGCCTCAGTCAGAGCCTCAGTCAGAGCCTCCGTCAGAGCCTCAGTCAGCGCCTCAGTCAGAGCCTCAGTCAGCGCCTCAGTCAGCGCCTCAGTCAGAGCCTCAGTCAGCGCCTCCGTCAGAGCCTCAGTCAGAGCCTCAGTCAGAGCCTCAGTCAGTGCCTCCGTCAGAGCCTCAGTCAGTCAGCCTCCAGTCAGAGCCTCAGTCAGTGAGCCTCAGTCAGAGCCTCGTCAGAGCCTCTCAGTCAGAGCCTCAGTCAGAGCCTCAGTCAGAGCCTCAGTCAGAGCCTCGTCAGGCCGTCAGAGCCTCAGTCAGTGCCTCCAGTCAGAGCCTCAGTCAGAGCCTCAGTCAGCGCCTCAGTCAGCGCCTCCGTCAGAGCCTCAGTCAGTGCCTCCGTCAGAGCCTCAGTCAGAGCCTCAGTCAGAGCCTCCGTCAGAGCCTCAGTCAGAGCCTCAGTCAGAGCCTCAGTCAGAGCCTCCGTCAGAGCCTCAGTCAGAGCCTCAGTCAGAGCCTCAGTCAGAGCCTCAGTCAGAGCCTCAGTCAGAGCCTCAGTCAGTGCCTCCGTCAGAGCCTCAGTCAGAGCCTCAGTCAGAGCCTCCGTCAGAGCCTCAGTCAGCGCCTCAGTCAGAGCCTCAGTCAGCGCCTCAGTCAGAGCCTCCGTCAGAGCCTCAGTCAGAGCCTCAGTCAGAGGGAAGTCAGAGTCAGCCAATCCAGCCAACAGTTAAACTGTGGAACTCTCTCCCCACCGGACTGAAACTACAGACTAACATGACCATCTTCAGCGGAGCTCAGACAGTGGTGAAGATCCAGACAGACCTGTTCTCACGTGTAAACTGTATCGTAATTCTTTTAAATGTATTTTATCTTCTGCACTGTAAAAACCCTGTGGATTAGTTTTTTAACACTTACAGCAGTGCATCTGGCTCGTCCAATGTTATTGTTATGTCCATATTATATAAATAAAGGTTTATGAATCTCTCCTTCAAAAAATTTTCTTGGCACAAACTCCTGAATTACTGGACGGACTTGCATGACCTGCTCACTTACGATGATATCATGAATTTAAAATAGAAACTAACAATGAGTGAGAAAATAGTTCCATTCATTTTCTACCCTTTAATCCATTTCTGGGTCAGGGGGGTGGCAGTCAGAGATGCCACCCAAGTCTCATAGCACCAGCCCCTCACTGACCCTCTGCAGGTGGTGAGTCCACAGGAGGACGGCTGCTCTCTGAGTGTGAGCATAGCCTTGATCTTTCAGTGGGGGCTTTGGGCAAAGTGGGGTTAAGTGTCTTGCCCAAGGACACAACGACAGCAGTCATCAGTGGAGAAGGTGTAGAGGTGGGAATTGAACCCACGACCTTCAGGCCTGAAGGCCAATGCTCTACCAACTGAGCTACTGTCGCCCTAAAATAGAGAAAATTATTGTGTTTGTTTTATTGTTTTCAACATTTCTGCTGCGGGTGTAACATTTTGAGCCTCCCAAAAGTATTAATACAGCTTGAACTAAAATGATACATGATTTTATTATTATTTCAAAGGGCCTCAGAGCTGTATCTGTCACTAAACAACTTCAGATTTACCAATATTTGAACATCTTACGGAGAAATGTTCAGAAATGAAAATAGTATGTCACCAGTAGGACTTTGTAAACCTAAAAAAACCTATGGCGGCACGGTGGCTGAGTGGATAGCACTCTTGCCTCTCAGCAAGAAGGTACTGGGTTCGAACCCTGGTCAGACCAGGGCCTTTCTGAGTGGAGTTTGCTTGTTCTCCCCGTGTCTGCGTAGGTTTCCTCCGGGTACTCCAGTTTCCCCTACCACTAAAAATATGTACAATAGTTCTGGCATGCGCCTCCTGTACTGGCCCCGCTCCCATCTCTGTGTGGAGTGAGAGACAAGTGCCCATAATTAACAATTGTAAACCGCTTTGAGACTCAAATCTGCAGTGAAAAGGCAGTATATAAATAAAGATTACTTACTTACTACTAAAAGTCCACCTAAACTAACAGACTGAACTGGTCAGAAAAGCAACCAAGCCCGAGATGACTCTGGAAGGAGCCATCGGTTTGTACACACCTGTTTGTATAACAATGTAAATAAGAAAATGTAATTGGGGTAATCTCCCTTTGAGCTGTGTCTCTTTTTCCTTTTGGATTGTTTTTTTTTTCTGTGTGTTTCATATGACCTGCTCAAATAAATTGATATCAAATAAAATCAAGTGCCAAGTGTTCAGATCCAGCCTGCAGAGGCTGAGTTTACACGGAGACAATGTGGCAGTAAAACGGTATAGTTGGATGTCGGTTTCTACCAACAGTTCATACGAAGACTGTTCCAGGTGAAAACGTAAGTGTTCAGATCCAGCCTGCAGAGTGGGACAACTCAGAAACACTGCACAGCGGGGGCTCTTTCACACCCGCGAGAGGGAAAGGTGTGAAATCCCCCTCTGCTCTGACCCCCACCTCCTGCTGCTCTGACCCCCACCTCCTGCTGCTCTGACCCCCACCTCCTGCTGCTCTGACCCCCACCTCCTGCTGCTCTGACCCCCACCTCCTGCTGCTCTGACCCCCACCTCCTGCTGCTCCCACACGTACATTTATGCGCAGTAGCGGAGAACAAACATCAACAACAATGGTGCCGCGCACACTAACTAGCTACGTGGACGCCCAGAGCGGCACAGAGGATCCTTCGTTCGTCCAAACGAGACCACGCGAAGCTCTAGGTTCAGTTTCCATTTTCACAGCTGCTGTTAAAATGCAGAATGATGTTGGTACGTTCTGAGGGTCTGGCACAGGAAGTGAGTACACTGCAGAGAGGGGGGCTGGGCACGGGGCTCGGGGTCGTGTGAGTGTTGTAAACTTTCTCTGCCCCCTACTGGCCGGGTACTAGAACTACATCATTTTTCAACCTCATGTGAACGCTGAGAAATTTGGCAGTTTCTGTTAATAGCCTGGAAACGTCTGGGCAGCGTCTCAGTATAAACAGGGCCTTAAAAGCTCATCAGTCTCAAAACAGTTTGGTTCCATCACTCGCTTTTACATGGATGATGAAAGCAATGAAAGAGAAAGCCGTTAGTGCCATGAATGTGAAGAATGCACTCAACAATGGGCCTTTTTCACGGTTGCTTCCTTGAATCCGGTTTTTCACGTTAGCGGTTACAACTTTGGGACAGCACCGAAACCTAAAAACATTTGTATCCTGTTATTAGAAAGGCAATTACGGTTAAAGTTCAATCTAAATCATTCAATTCAACGTATTCTTGTACAGCCCTAAATCACAATAGAATTCACCAACACAGATCAGAAGATTACTTTACACTGGGGCATGCAATCAAACGAGGAACAGAAAACTCCTGCGACATTTGCATTTGTTTTTGGGCCAAAACAAGAGACATATCCATATATTATAGATCCAGTGTGTGGGGGGTAGAAGCACCAAATTCTGGGCCCCGGGTACAAACAGTCTCAATGGGCCCCCACTACATATATATATTTTTTCTATATATATATATATATTATATATATATATATATTATATATATATATATATATATAATAATTTAATTAGTTAATAAAATTCTGATTCATGTCCTTTGGTTTTATTATCATCAATATTGTTTACAATATTTTTTATTACCCTCATGTAAAAAATTAATTGAGTAGCCTGTATATACAATAAACATTGCTTTATTTTCAAACAACGGCTTCACCAGGTTGATAACAGTAGTACCATGTCCATTTTATTTATTAACAGGGACAAGCCCAAAAAAAGGTAAATATTTAACAAAAACTAGAACTACACTGTTTGAGAACCATCAATGTAGTACAAAGATAAATGTATGGTCAATGTTTATCAAAAGCCCACTGACGGGTCTTTGCATTTGCAAAGTTTCTGATCAGGTCTTTAAAGTCCAGGTTTTTGGCCAACTGACTTTCTATGGAGAGTATTGCAAGGCTGTTCAGTCTCTCTGGAGACATTGTGGATCTTAAATAGTAGTGAGTCACTACTAGTGCCTTCATCTGGCCATGATGCTTCTCTTCCTGAAACTGAAATAAAGTAGCTTTAATGGGTTGCAAACAGATACTATATTCCATCATTACAGTGTATAGCTATTACGTATATGCCTGCATGCCTTTATGTGATATGTGTATATGGCTATTCATATAAAATATATAGTATATCTTATCTTATTTGTATGGACCATGAGTAGGTAAGTTACTTATTTGTTATTGTACAAACATACAACAAAATACTTTTTATGGTTCATTATTATCCACCAATTTAGACTTTGTGGCAAAATTCAATCGATGCAATCTTTTTTGAAATAAGCCATTTTCAACTAAACACCTGTGCCTAGCCTTACTCCGCCCACATGAACATTTGAAATTTGTCTGTAAAAATGGCACCAGTGAAGAAGGGGGGCTTACAGTTGGGCATGGTCTGGGCTGTGATTGTCAGTTGTCATTTCTGGCTTAAAAGCAATAGTTTACACACCAGAAAGTCTCATTTCACCCTTGTTTACACACTAAGATAATTGTAGAGCTAGAAACCTTTAGACCATTAGACTTATTTACATTATTTTGACCACTAGATATCACCAGAAAACTCCAAACCGGTGCGGGGGCGTGTGATTTGTATGCTTATAACCAGATGATCCAATGCAGAGGCCAGTGAGTGACCCGTGACTTATGACTGCAAGACTCACGGACGGACAGATTATGACAATAGTGGGAATATAGGGTACAGGGTTGTACATGAAAATAACTCTTTGCTGCCTGCCTTTGAAGGAGAAGTGGACAGTGTGTGTGAGCTGCCTTTACAGCTGCGCATCTGTGTGTGTCACTCTGGATAACGTATTTTTTGTTTTACCACGTACACGGCACACTGTTAGCTCTCCGTGAGTTTAGAATACAGAAACAAATGTCTCTGGGTTTTCTCCTGATGTGGCCTCTCTGCAAAACATATGGAGCAGGTTCTATTGTAGGGACGTAATGAGAATTTAAACTTGGGCCATATTTTCATTTTGGTGGAGAGTGTGTCCTTACGATGACGAGCAGGAGATTCTAAGATAGAGCATTCTTCTGCTGATGACGTCCATGAACAACAACGGAACTATAATCTAGATATGAATTATAGAGAAGATGAGAGCTGCCAAGAGAAACATGTGTGTACGATATTTCCGTGTGTCAAAACATTCCAAAACATTTATTATATGGAAGAAATGCGGAAGAGGGTAGGGTTTAATTACAACAAGAATTTTGGCATATTTTGCTAACTTTATGCTGATGACAGTGATTTATTTCTCTAAATCAAACATTAGACATTCAAAATTCTCTTTAACTTGATTTCAATTCAGTTCAACTCTGGCCACAATCAAACAACAAATCTAATTTTATGTTGTTCCAGAAACGAGTCCGTCCCGTGTCTACTAATGAAATTAATCTTTTGTTTTTAGACAAATCATCACTCCCAGTTGTTGATCAATTTAAATATCTGGGTTTATGGCTTGACCCGTCCCTCTCCTTTAACAAACACAGACAATCACAAACAACATTTCATATCGTCTAAAACGTCTTTATCAATCAGTTAATTGCTTCAGTTTTTCAGTTAGGAAAAGAATTATTTCACAGTTGATTCTTCCCATTCTTGATTACAGTGACATCATTTATCTAAACACTTCTGCCTCCATCCTCCAGCCTCTGTCACACACAACAGCCTCTGTCACACACAACAGCCTCTGTCACACACAACAGCCTCTGTCACACACAACAGCCTGTGTCACACACAACAGCCTCTGTCACACACAACAGCCTCTGTCACACACAACAGCCTCTGTCACACACAACAGCCTCTGTCACACACAACAGCCTCTGTCACACACAACAGCCTGTGTCACACACAACAGCCTCTGTCACACACAACAGCCTCTGTCACACACAACAGCCTCTGTCACACACAACAGCCTCTGTCACACACAACAGCCTCTGTCACACACAACAGCCTGTGTCACACACAACAGCCTCTGTCACACACAACAGTCTGTGTGGGTTCATTCTCCGCTGTTATCGTGGCTCTCTCTGTCCTCCAGACGTCAGCTTCATTGGCTGCTGTTTATTTTTAAATATATCAATTTAAGTTTTCCGGACTATTTAAAACAATATTTGATTCCTTTCCAATCCTCTTACGGTTTGTGCCATGCAAACCAATGTTTCTTTGTTGCCCCAATAGTTAAGAAAGAAGTCGTAAAACATTGATTTACATTTAAAGCTCCTTCTGACTGGAACAGTTTACCTTCATCCATTCGCTCTCTCACTTCTCTGCCTCTGTTTAAAAACGCTCTGGTCCAACACCTCCAGAACCCAGGCCAGTGTTACTGAGCATAAACTATTCATCTAAATTATATTCAGTGATATGCAGTACTTTAAATACTAACTGTAATCTTTGTTAGTTTATAATAGACAATATATGAACAACAGTGTGTGATGTGTGTGTGTGTGTGTGTGTGTGTGTATGTGTGTGTGTGTGATGTGTGTGAGTAGGTGGGTGTATGTGTGTGTGTGTGTGAGTGGGTGTGTGTATGTGTGTGAGTGTATGTGTCTGTGTGTGTGAGTGTGTGTGTATGTGTGTGTGTGTGTGTGTGTGTGTGTGTGAGTGTATGTGTGTGTGGGTGTGTGTGTGAGTGGGTGTGTGTATGTGTGTGTGAGTGTGTCTGTGTGTGTGTGTGTGTGTGTGTGTGTGGGTGGGTGTGTATGTGTGTGTGAGTGTATGTGTCTGTGTGTGTGAGTGGGTGTACGTGTGTGTCCTTTGTCTTCTGTGTTTGTATTACTTTCTATGAATTCTGCATTATTGTTTGCTCTACTGTCTGTACTGAATGTCATTTTGTGCGATTTTGAGGACCCCCTCGAAAACGATGTTTCATCTCTAGGGGCTTATCCTCCAAACAAATAAATAAAATATTGGTAAGCTCTGTACGGAACATTTGACATACACAAAAGTTTGGAATATTTACTTTGGGGTTTTGTTTTGAAGTATGAAATATTGTAAAAGCTTGAAACTTTATGGACAAACAGAGAATAAAGAAATGATTATTATAAATATATACCTTTCTGTAACTGAAAGCGTTTGTAAAAAAAAATGCCAAAACTATTTTAGGGGGAAATGTGTTCGTAAAAGGCAGAAAACTTCCTTGTCCTAAGAGTTTATCACAACTTAACAAGTTTGAGATGCGGAAGGAGGATGTATTTTTCACTAGAACTTTTCTGATATCAGTGTGGGTGGAGCCTCTCAGCAAGAAGGGTTCTAATCCCGGTCGGAACAGGGCCTTTCTGAGTGGAGTTTGCATGTTCTCCCCGTGTCTGCAAGGTTTCCTCCGGTTCCCCCTGCCACTAAAAACATGTTCAGGGTGAATGAGTGTGTGTTTGTGAGTGCGACTGTGGCATAACGGATGGAGTTTTTTTTTTTTTTTCTCCTTGTTTAGTTTATGATCAAGTCTGATATATAATCCGTACATTTCTCCAGTTTGAACTTTTTAGTAGTAAGTTTTGTTTTATGTCCATTTAATGATAAACTCAAAGAAGATTAATTGTATTAATCCGTAGGTGAATGTTGTTTCTTGATGTTTTGAAGCTTTTCTTCGGATGGAAAATGTAACTATTATTTTTTTTTTTCACGTAAGAGTACAGTAAAAATGTTAAAGTACTGTATGGATACAATACTCTAAGACGTACAGTTACTTCTACAAGTTACTCAAGTTCATGTACTTGAGTAAATGTAATTGTTTTTGTTTTGTTTTGTTTTTCGGAATTATTATTTTGGATACGGACTGATTGTGCAGTTTCACCGGGAAATGTAAATGTATATCATAGTGATTACGGGGTAGGCGTATATATAAGCGTCTGGCTTCAGCCTACTCCTTTTCTTTTTTGGAGCGCCTCTAATAGAATGATGTAAATGTGAATGTTAAAATGTAAACGGCTCAAAAAAGAAATAAATAAATAAATAAAATAAAATAAAATAAATAAAAATAGCCCAAGCTTCAATCCGGAGTGACGTGTTCATGAACATGTTCTGTCCCAACCAATTAAACAATAAATAAAATAAACAAGCGCAGGTCGTTCTTTGATGAGGAACAATGTTGTGAGATGGTTCAAAGCTTTTAATACATTTGACATGTCTAGTTCCAATAATAAAGTCTGCTGTACAGTTGAGCATGAAGGTGACTTTGAGATATTTCAGAGATTATGAACGATAACATTGTACATAACTCATCGTTTGTAGTTGTTTTAAACTATAATCATACACAAACACGTTCTTTAATATCAAAAGATAATGTGAGAAACTGAGGTCTCCATCCCCCGGTGCTTCGACATAGCCTGGAGTCTTTTGTGGTAGTTGTGGATGAGGCTTCTTGGAGAAAAGGCAGTTCTTCAGTCAAGTTCCAGAGAATTCCTGGGCTGACTGGCATGAACTGCACATCTGAGAGCTCCCCATAACAACTCAATGTCCTGACAAATATTTGAGAAGCTCCTTTTCACACACAATATCTTCACACACGATATGTCATCATTCCTAATCTCCAAAATATGGCTTTTCTTTTCAACATTTCTGCCCCGGGATGAAAACTATCGCCGATTTCTTTTCCATTTTTACAATCTTTTCACTGTCTTTGTGGATAAATACTGCCTGCAGAATCCAGAGTCTTTCACTAATACAATAAAACTCGGTGTTCCGGCTTTGATGAAACACCTGCAAATGAAAAGAGAAAGTTGTTAGGGCCATGAATGTGAAGAACCCATGAGATTCTGGCTCCAAACTTGCTCAAACCGGTTCTAGAAAGGGCCTGTGTGGCTGGAGGTTATCGTTTCAACAGTCTCCGGTGTGTTTCTGTTTTGTTGAAATCCAAACCTGCCCCACACTGGCCCTTTGAGGACTGGTTTGACAGCTCAGTCATAAGGAAACACCAATGCTCCTTCTGCACGTTTGCTTCTGTGAGTGGGATTATTAAAAAAATGTGTTGCCTCCGGTCATTTGAAAGAAAGTGAAATAATCTTACCGTTGATGCTGCAATGCTTGTAGAAGAGGGGTCTGCGGGGAAACCTGGTGAAGGGTCTCGTTATGCCGGTCTTCAAAGAATAACTAAGGAAAAAATGTGATAAGAATTTTAAATGATCAGAATTTGCCCCGTGCAGAGTGTGGGGATATACACACCAGCAGATTTGAAGGGCGATACTTCTGCTGTGTGTCCCATGGGGGCAGTTCCTCGCCGAACATGACGGACAGGTGATCGGAGAAGCTGGAAACATTTACATTATGGACCAAACAGCAATTTTGTTCATACACATGCAGTTTCTGTCTGACTAAAGACAATGTGTGTCTTTACCACTCAACAGAGCAGTAGTAAAACAAAAAGTGGGTAATACCAGTCCTACTGCAAAAAATGATCAAATATGAGATGATAATTGCTAGAATCGAGTTTTTTTTAACTTGACTTAAGTTCATTCTGACTGTCTTAAAATGAGATTTGCCAATGAGACAAGCAATTTTGACTTGATTCAAGAACTATTGCTTTATTTTCTCATTCCAAGAGAAAAATATCTTGTATCTTTTTAAAACAAGACCATTTTTCTTGTTCCACTGGCAAATCTTGTTTTAAGGCGGTCATAATGTGCTCATATTTAGATACATTTAGCCAAATTTTAGCATTTTTTGGTCTTTAATTCTGTCATCTTTTGCAGTGTAATCCATGTACATTATAACTCCCAACAGTAAAAGTTTGTGTGCGTGCTAATTTTCTGTAATGTTTTACTTGGGGTGAGCAGTTTTTAGCAGCGTCTCCCCGTCGGCACAGATGTTTCTACAGTTTTGATCTGACATAAGCGCTGGAGCAAGAGTGAAGCTGCAAGTTCATTTTGAGTGATCTTTAAAGAGCGACTAAACACCAAATCAACTTTTTTAAACTCATAAACTGCATAAGTGTGTTTATTGTAGTGCTGTCTACATATCCTGGTCATTTTTTTGACATTTTAGTTCAAATTAGATAAAATATCACTTTTGAGCCAAAAAACGCTGTGTGGCGCCCTCTCAACCTTTTTGGTGGTACTACATTTGAATTTGGTCCTGGCCTCTCCATTGACTCTGAAGTTCTCTATGACATCAGTTGTTTTGTGTGACGTCAGTCTGTCAGAGCCAGTGATATAAACCCATTCAACTCTCACACACGCCCCAGCTGCAGTTTGGAGTATTCTGGCGCCATCTAGTGGATTAAAATTAAATTACATGAGTCATTCTGAGATTATTGAGTGTGATTAGGTTCAGGTGTGTAGCTTTACAATAATCTTAGTGTGTAAACAAGGGTGGAATGAGACTTTCTGGTCTGTAAACTATTGCTTTAAGCAGCAATGACAACTGTCTGGTTTTTTTTGTGTGACAAGTGAGCTGTCAATCACAGCCCAGACCACGCCCAACTCTAAGCCCCCCTTCTTGTCCCTTGGTCCTCCAGGTAACGCCCTTTTTAGAGAACATTTTCAAATCTTCATGTGGGCGGAGTCAGGCTGGGCACAGGTGTTTAGTCGCTCTTTAACTTTGCAGGAAACCAGATTACCAATCCTGAAATGTGTCAATTGTAAGGCTGCACAATACTGGAAATTAGAGCGATATTCAATATGGCTCTTTAGCTTTTCGATAACGATATTATAGCCATAGTTTTGTCTTTCACCTGAAAATGCAAATGCAATTTGAACCACAAGAGAAACCTCTCTTACAAAAATATGCACAACATTAATTACATTCAAAGGCAGTATGGCACGTATCACCCTCAAAGCTCGCCTAAAGTTGCCATTTCCAAACGCAGAGTATCAACGGAGAGTGTGCACTTGCTATATATTGCGTAATGGCTGCAGTTAAAGCTGAAGTTAAAATCTCTTCGAAGTTTTCTCGTGAGGAGCAGCAAATATTTTAGCTGTCAATACAAACTACAGAAAACATTATTTGGTCGGCCTGTTTTCCTTTCCTTCAGGTGTTACCAGTCTGAACCAAGCACTTCAAATGGATTCATCTTGTACTTTATTTCTTTTAGCATGATCTTATTTTACAGTGTGTGTTTTTTGTTGTATGGTTTTTGCTGTACGTTGTGCACATTTTGGCAGAAGCATTACAAAGCGATATAGACTAATGTTATATGGGCTGTGATGATAATGATGATGGTGAATAACAGTAATACCAACATGGTAATAAAATGGGTATAGGAAACAAAATTATAAACTTGTTATAAAGTGTAACATACTATGAATGTTGACTTAATCTGTAAATATGTAACCAACTTAATTGTTTTGTAAGATACTAAGAACTAAACATTGTTACTGTTGCAACCACATTATTATTTAACTTTACGAACAGGGGTGGGAGTCAATAAGCTTGTCTTCTTCCCACTCCTTTTCGAGCTAGAATGTTAATTATTTTTATTTTATTTTTTCTGGCTATTGTGCCTGTGTTGTGTGTTGTGTAGCTCGAAATAAAAATCAAATCAAAAGCAGCTTTACTTTCAAATGGCCGTTAAACTGGATGAGAATCTGAACAGAATGTACCAGTGGTTTTCACAGAAGGCCGAGATGAAGTCGCTCTGCTGGTGCTCGGGGTAGAGGAAGAGCACAGGCCAGTAGAGGGCGCCATCCTGCTGGTTTAGATAGACCTGAGCCCCATTGACCTCCTGTGAGCTCAAGCCATCCAGACTGAGCTGTGCCAGGCCACGCAAGGAAGAACCCCCCTTCTCATCCTCACTGTCAGAGCCACGCGACCGGCTGGACGAAAACAACTTTATACCTCTGTCCTGTAAAGACATTAACAATAATTATAAGCGTGTGCTAGAATTTGTAGCAGTGGGACAGCTGTAAGGAAGTGGGTGGCCATGTTTGCAGTTTGGCTTGGAGTCTGTAGTTCTGGCTCCGAGTCTGTGGTTCTGGCTCGGAGTCTGTGGTTCTGGCTCTGAGTCTGTGGTTCTGGCTCCGAGTCTGTGGTTCTGGCTCCGAGTCTGTGGTTCTGGCTCGGAGTCTGTGGTTCTGGCTCGGAGTCTGTAGTTCTGGCTCCGAGTCTGTGGTTCTGGCTCCGAGTCTGTGGTTCTGGCTCCGAGTCTGTGGTTCTGGCTCCGAGTCTGTGGTTCTGGCTCCGAGTCTGTGGTTCTGGCTCCGAGTCTGTGGTTCTGGCTCCGAGTCTGTGGTTCTGGCTCCGAGTCTGTGGTTCTGGCTCCGAGTCTGTGGTTCTGGCTCCGAGTCTGTGGTTCTGGCTCCGAGTCTGTGGTTCTGGCTCCGAGTCTGTGGTTCTGGCTCTGAGTTTGTGGTTCTGGCTCCGAGTCTGTGGTTCTGGCTCTGAGTCTGTGGTTCTGGCTCTGAGTCTGTGGTTCTGGCTCTGAGTCTGTGGTTCTGGCTCTGAGTCTGTAGTTCTGGCTCTGAGTCTGTGGTTCTGGCTCTGAGTCTGTGGTTCTGGCTCTGAGTTTGTGGTTCTGGCTCGAGTCTGTGGTTCTGGCTCCGAGTCTGTGGTTCTGGCTCTGAGTCTGTGGTTCTGGCTCTGAGTCTGTGGTTCTGGCTCTGAGTCTGTGGTTCTGGCTCAGTCTGTGGCTCCGAGTCTGTGGTTCTGGCTCCGAGTCTGTGGTTCTGGCTCCGAGTCTGTGGTTCTGGCTCCGAGTCTGTGGTTCTGGCTCCGAGTCTGTGGTTCTGGCTCCGAGTCTGTGGTTCTGGCTCCGAGTCTGTGGTTCTGGCTCCGAGTCTGTGGTTCTGGCTCCGAGTCTGTGGTTCTGGCTCCGAGTCTGTGGTTCTGGCTCCGAGTCTGTGGTTCTGGCTCCGAGTCTGTGGTTCTGGCTCCGAGTCTGTGGTTCTGGCTCCGAGTCTGTGGTTCTGGCTCCGAGTCTGTGGTTCTGGCTCCGAGTCTGTGGTTCTGGCTCCGAGTCTGTGGTTCTGGCTCCGAGTCTGTGGTTCTGGCTCGGAGTCTGTGGTTCTGGCTCGGAGTCTGTGGTTCTGGCTCGGAGTCTGTGGTTCTGGCTCTGAGTCTGTGGTTCTGGCTCTGAGTCTGTGGTTCTGGCTCTGAGTCTGTGGTTCTGGCTCTGAGTCTGTGGTTCTGGCTCTGAGTCTGTGGTTTCTGGCTCTGAGTCTGTGGTTCTGGCTCTGAGTCTGTGGTTCTGGCTCTGAGTCTGTGGTTCTGGCTCTGAGTCTGTGGTTCTGGCTCTGAGTCTGTGGTTCTGGCTCTGAGTCTGTGGTTCTGGCTCTGAGTCTGTAGTTCTGGCTCTGAGTCTTTGGTTCTGGCTCTGAGTCTGTGGTTCTGGCTCTGAGTCTGTGGTTCTGGCTCTGAGTCTGTGGTTCTGGCTCTGAGTCTGTGGTTCTGGCTCTGAGTCTGTGGTTCTGGCTCTGAGTCTGTAGTTCTGGCTCTGAGTCTGTGGTTCTGGCTCTGAGTGTGTGGTTCTGGCTCTGAGTTTGTGGTTCTGGCTCCGAGTCTGTGGTTCTGGCTCCGAGTCTGTGGTTCTGGCTCTGATTCTGTGGTTCTGGCTCCGAGTCTGTGGTTCTGGCTCTGAGTCTGTGGTTCTGGCTCTGAGTCTGTGGTTCTGGCTCTGAGTCTGTGGTTCTGGCTCCGAGTCTGTGGCTCCGAGTCTGTGGTTCCGAGTCTGTGGTTCTGGCTCCGAGTCTGTGGTTCTGGCTCCGAGTCTGTGGTTCTGGCTCCGAGTCTGTGGTTCTGGCTCTGAGTCTGTGGTTCTGGCTCCGAGTCTGTGGTTCTGGCTCTGAGTCTGTGGTTCTGGCTCTGAGTCTGTGGTTCTGGCTCCGAGTCTGTGGTTCTGGCTCCGAGTCTGTGGCTCCGAGTCTGTGGTTCCGAGTCTGTGGTTCCGAGTCTGTGGTTCTGGCTCCGAGTCTGTGGTTCTGGCTCCGAGTCTGTGGTTCTGGCTCCGAGTCTGTGGTTCTGGCTCCGAGTCTGTGGTTCTGGCTCCGAGTCTGTGGTTCTGGCTCCGAGTCTGTGGTTCTGGCTCCGAGTCTGTGGTTCTGGCTCCGAGTCTGTGGTTCTGGCTCCGAGTCTGTGGTTCTGGCTCGGAGTCTGTGGTTCTGGCTCGGAGTCTGTGGTTCTGGCTCGGAGTCTGTGGTTCTGGCTCTGAGTCTGTGGTTCTGGCTCTGAGTCTGTGGTTCTGGCTCTGAGTCTGTGGTTCTGGCTCTGAGTCTGTGGTTCTGGCTCTGAGTCTGTGGTTCTGGCTCTGAGTCTGTGGTTCTGGCTCTGAGTCTGTAGTTCTGGCTCTGAGTCTGTAGTTCTGGCTCTGAGTCTTTGGTTCTGGCTCTGAGTCTGTGGTTCTGGCTCTGAGTCTGTGGTTCTGGCTCTGAGTCTGTGGTTCTGGCTCTGAGTCTGTGGTTCTGGCTCCGAGTCTGTGGTTCTGGCTCCGAGTCTGTGGTTCTGGCTCCGAGTCTGTGGTTCTGGCTCCGAGTCTGTGGTTCTGGCTCCGAGTCTGTGGTTCTGGCTCCGAGTCTGTGGTTCTGGCTCGAGTCTGTGGTTCTGGCTCCGAGTCTGTGGTTCTGGCTCCGAGTCTGTGGTTCTGGCTCCGAGTCTGTGGTTCTGGCTCCGAGTCTGTGGTTCTGGCTCCGAGTCTGTGGTTCTGGCTCCGAGTCTGTGGTTCTGGCTCCGAGTCTGTGGTTCTGGCTCTGAGTTTGTGGTTCTGGCTCCGAGTCTGTGGTTCTGGCTCTGAGTCTGTGGTTCTGGCTCTGAGTCTGTGGTTCTGGCTCTGAGTCTGTGGTTCTGGCTCTGAGTCTGTAGTTCTGGCTCTGAGTGTGTGGTTCTGGCTCTGAGTGTGTGGTTCTGGCTCTGAGTTTGTGGTTCTGGCTCCGAGTCTGTGGTTCTGGCTCCGAGTCTGTGGTTCTGGCTCCGAGTCTGTGGTTCTGGCTCTGAGTCTGTGGTTCTGGCTCTGAGTCTGTGGCTCCGAGTCTGTGGTTCTGGCTCTGAGTCTGTGGTTCTGGCTCTGAGTCTGTGGTTCTGGCTCTGAGTCTGTGGTTCTGGCTCTGAGTCTGTGGTTCTGGCTCTGAGTCTGTGGTTCTGGCTCTGAGTCTGTGGTTCTGGCTCTGAGTCTGTAGTTCTGGCTCTGAGTCTTTGGTTCTGGCTCTGAGTCTGTGGTTCTGGCTCTGAGTCTGTGGTTCTGGCTCCGAGTCTGTGGCTCCGAGTCTGTGGTTCTGGCTCCGAGTCTGTGGTTCTGGCTCCGAGTCTGTGGTTCTGGCTCCGAGTCTGTGGTTCTGGCTCCGAGTCTGTGGTTCTGGCTCCGAGTCTGTGGTTCTGGCTCCGAGTCTGTGGTTCTGGCTCCGAGTGGTTCTGTGGTTCTGGCTCCGAGTCTGTGGTTCTGGCTCCGAGTCTGTGGTTCTGGCTCCGGTCTCTGGCTCGAGTCTGTGGTTCTGGCTCCGAGTCTGTGGTTCTGGCTCCGAGTCTGTGGTTCTGGCTCCGAGTCTGTGGTTCTGGCTCCGAGTCTGTGGTTCTGGCTCCGAGTCTGTGGTTCTGGCTCCGAGTCTGTGGTTCTGGCTCCGAGTCTGTGGTTCTGGCTCCGAGTCTGTGGTTCTGGCTCCGAGTCTGTGGTTCTGGCTCGGAGTCTGTGGTTCTGGCTCGGAGTCTGTGGTTCTGGCTCTGAGTCTGTGGTTCTGGCTCTGAGTCTGTGGTTCTGGCTCTGAGTCTGTGGTTCTGGCTCTGAGTCTGTGGTTCTGGCTCTGAGTCTGTGGTTCTGGCTCTGAGTCTGTGGTTCTGGCTCTGAGTCTGTGGTTCTGGCTCTGAGTCTGTGGTTCTGGCTCTGAGTCTGTGGTTCTGGCTCTGAGTCTGTGGTTCTGGCTCTGAGTCTGTGGTTCTGGCTCTGAGTCTGTAGTTCTGGCTCTGAGTCTGTAGTTCTGGCTCTGAGTCTGTGGTTCTGGCTCTGAGTCTGTGGTTCTGGCTCTGAGTCTGTGGTTCTGGCTCTGAGTCTGTGGTTCTGGCTCTGAGTCTGTAGTTCTGGCTCTGAGTCTGTAGTTCTGGCTCTGAGTCTGTAGTTCTGGCTCTGAGTCTGTGGTTCTGGCTCTGAGTCTGTGGTTCTGGCTCTGAGTCTGTGGTTCTGGCTCTGAGTCTGTGGTTCTGGCTCCGAGTCTGTGGTTCTGGCTCCGAGTCTGTGGTTCTGGCTCCGAGTCTGTGCTCGAGTCTTGGTCTGGCTCCGAGTCTGTGGTTCTGGCTCCGAGTCTGTGGTTCTGGCTCTGAGTCTGTGGTTCTGGCTCCGAGTCTGTGGTTCTGGCTCTGAGTCTGTGGTTCTGGCTCTGAGTCTGTGGTTCTGGCTCCGAGTCTGTGGTTCTGGCTCCGAGTCTGTGGTTCTGGCTCCGAGTCTGTGGTTCTGGCTCCGAGTCTGTGGTTCTGGCTCTGAGTCTGTGGTTCTGGCTCCGAGTCTGTAGTTCTGGCTCTGAGTCTGTGGTTCTGGCTCGGAGTCTGTGGTTCTGGCTCGGAGTCTGTGGTTCTGACTGCGACTTTACATGAATCAAGAATGGTCTTAGAGCCTGGTTCAAAACACGGCTCTTGGTCCAACAACAAGTTCCTCCTGTCAATTCCTTGGGGGGATGGGGCAGTGTGGGGGGATGGGCAGTGTGGGGGGATTGATCCAGGTCCATTTAGTCGTAGTTAATTTTTAAAGTACACTGCTTGGCCACTTGCGGAGGCTCATAAGAAATTATGAAGTAAGTTGCTTTGACAATGGACAGATAAGACTACAAACAATCCATATTCTTCACTGTAAGTAATGATTTGTGGTTGGTTTCACTTTCCTACTTCATAGAAGTTTTAACAGTTTGGGACAAAAAAAACAAAACGTTTAAATGCATAAATTGGAATCCCTACAACCAATTCAAAGAAAATAAATCCTCAAGAGGAAATATCTGATGGATTCAATATTTATTCAACAAGATAAAAGCTGTCGTCTCAGAACCATAGACTGTATATTAACAAACATAGCCACGCCTATCTCCGCCGTTCTAACTAATAAAAAATTGGGCTTTCATGGAGTGATTCAAAATGGCCGCGCGGGCTGGAAAATGTAAAAAAACCCATCTGTGCACGCGTCAGCTGCACGAGCTCCATTAATTTAAACGAGAGACTTCTAAAGTCCACAGCGACTAAACCAGACTGGTCCAGAACACTCAGCATTGACACACATGTGGAACGGAGCTTTGGGCCAAGAGACAACTTTTGGTCCATCCTGTAAAGACGTTTTCGAGAGGTAAGAAGATGCTATATGTTAGCATTGGCTAATTCTTATTCCGGGTCCACCCCCACAGGCCCGGGGTGGTACTGCAGCATGTCAGGGCACGTCATTTTGGACACTTTGAACCGGGACCCGCCCCCACTGGTCAGAACTCATTGGTTGGACTCATTCTAGTGGTCATTGATGCACTGCTCATACTTCTCATTATATGTCATTATCAGCCCATGTGCTTAAAACTGGGGAATTTTGTTTGATAAATAATAAATATAGTTTGTCCCGAAGAGAGAGACTTGAAAACATCATGCTGTCTTCAAAATAATCCCAAAGCTCTTTACCCTGTGAGTCACTATTTGATCGTTTGGGCTGATTGGACGAGTCCTCTCTTTGTCTCATCTTTAGATTAGCTAGTTCAAATAGAAAAGTGAAAAAGGCCATAAATACATAAAGCCAACTTGTTTTGAAAGGGAGGAAAGAGAAACATAGATTTTAGTTTTATTATATAGTTCATTTTTATGTTTTAAAATCTTCCTTTTTGGTTCAGTTTTGACAGTAATGCACCGACACTTGCCTTTATAGCGTCAAGAAGAGTTTGCCTCTCTCCCTGCAGTTTCTTCTCCCGTGCCTGGGCTTTCCGTGCATCTCTGTCGGCTGCTCTCTGCCACACAACACCAAACATTACATGACAGTGTCTTCCTAAATGCGCTGTATGAGGCGGTACCTTGTTCTTGTCAGCTGTTGCTCGCAGCTCCAGGACCTTCGTGTCCGTGGGGCTCAGGGAGAGGGCCTCGTCGCACCAGAGGACGGCGTCTGCAAAGTGTCGCAGCTCCATGCAGCACTGAGCACCTGCCCCAAAGAAACATGTCTCCATCAGTCATTTAGAAGGTTACTTATCTGGAATAGGACTTAAGTCTTAGGTCTGTACAGAGAAATATCAAACCGCGGCCTTTTTGTACGGACCGAGCCGTGGCGAGGTCTGTACAAAAAGACCAAGGTACAGACCGAGCAAGCGACTATTTTCAATTTGTCCAAATATTAATCGGTTTCAACTAAAAACACATTTGACCAAAGTGTCAAACTGTGACATGAAGAACAGAGGATTGAGGCGCCCGCTGTAAGTTCTCAGTCTGTGTCTTTACCAATGCTTTTTACATATCTGTGATGTTCATGTCCCACTTGGTTTTCCTGGTCCTGGTTTTACCTTTCTGGTCTGTAACCAAGTTGTCGATCTCTTCTTGACTGTTGGAGTTGTGTTTTTGTCGTTATTTGCTGTTATTACTTCCTCTGGCTCTTCCAACTCGTCCTGATGATAGAATTCACTGGAGAATGCTCATAATTTCTTTTTTAGGATAGAGGAAATATATCAAATCTGATACGCGCTGCAGACCAATTGTCATGGTAACGGTTCGAGATGGGAAAATATCAGACAGCAAATCAGCCAATCAGAGCGCACGAACGATCCAAGTCATGTGACAAAGATCATATACGAATCAATAAAACTGGATTATTCAAAGTTGTCAAAACTTCAACTGCTTAAAAATGGGTTTTAGATAACCCATTGCAGAGAAAATTCTTCAATTCTACAAGTTCAATTGATGAATCACAACTTATAGATCATCATAGTTGTCTACTAATTTAGATCAAGTTTGCAGACGATACCACCCTCAGCTCTGGGGAGGGAGATGGACCCGCTGTGTCCTGGAGCTGCGGTAACAACCTGGGTCTGAACGCCCAGAAGTCGGAGAGGATTGTGGACTTCAGGAGGACTTTTTTTATGCATGCATTTGTCTCCACCTTGAGCCAAAGCAAATTCCTAGTTTGTCAACCTCCTGATCGTAGAAGAGTGTATATCTACCTTTGATAGTGTTGTAGAATTAAAATGTTGTATACTAATGATTTTAAGTAGGTCTTTGTGCAATATTAAGCCTGGATTTAGTGGAATTCAGACAAGCACCAAGGACAAGGCTTCTGTGATAAAAGTATCATTTTCAGGAACAGCGTGTCTCTCTTATCGGGACAGGGCCTGAGACACAAAACTGGACTAGGCCAGACTGGGTCCAGCCTCAGACCATATGACGTCATCGGACATTCTGATAAAACTGTTGGGAGGACACATTGTGGGCAGTCTGAGCACAGGGATAGATTTAGGGAATTAATAGCTCCAAGAGTTCTGTATCAACATTTAATTGTAAAGAGAAATAAATGTTCTATTGTAACTCTTGAAATCTTGGCCTTATTTCTGTACCAAATTCTGAACACGTCAGTCAAATCATTTTATGCATGCATTTGCCTCCACCTTGAGCCAAAGCAAATTCCTAGTTTGTGACCTCCTGATTGTAGAAGAGTGTATATCTACCTTTGATAGCTATCTCTCACAGACTGCTGTAAAATGGAAAATAATGGAATTGGAAACATGCCTCTGATGATGGCCTTAAGGTGGTCTGGCTTTAACTTCTTTGCAGCTGTGGCATCTTTCAAAGCTGAACGCATATTACCTGTGTGAAAACAAAAAACGTCACTTTGGTTCAAATCTAAGTGAATGTAGTGAAAGAGAAAGACGTGATTCTTTACCCAGATAGAAATGCGTGGCCGCCCGGTTTGAGAGGATGACTGCGTTCAGGTCTTCATTTTCACATTTCATTTTCAGTGCAGCAGTGTAGGACACAAGGGCCTGATTGTACTTCTTAACTTTGAACCTAGAGTTGCCTTCACTCTTCAGGTCTTCTGCTTTCTCTAGGAAGAAGAGCAAAAGGTGAGGACTTCAAGGTGGATCTGCTCATAACGACTTGACCATTTACCATTTTAGACCGAGCCTGCATGTATACTGAGACTAGAGAGGTCTGAGCCTGCATGTATACTGAGACTAGAGAGGTCTGAGTCTGCATGTATACTGAGACTAGAGAGGTCTGAGTCTGTATGTATACTGAGACTAGAGAGGTCTGAGTCTGCATGTATACTGAGACTAGAGAGGTCTGAGTCTGCATGTATACTGAGACTAGAGAGGTCTGAGTCTGCATGTATACTGAGACTAGAGAGGTCTGAGTCTGCATGTATACTGAGACTAGAGAGGTCTGAGTCTGCATGTAGACTGAGACTAGAGGGGTCTGAGTCTGCATGTATACTGAGACTAGAGAGGTCTGAGTCTGCATGTATACTGAGACTAGAGAGGTCTGAGTCTGCATGTATACTGAGACTAGAGAGGTCTGAGTCTGCATGTATACTGAGACTAGAGAGGTCTGAGTCTGCATGTATACTGAGACTAGAGAGGTCTGAGTCTGCATGTATACTGAGACTAGAGAGGTCTGAGTCTGCATGTATACTGAGACTAGAGAGGTCTGAGTCTGCATGTATACTGAGACTAGAGAGGTCTGAGTCTGCATGTATACTGAGACTAGAGAGGTCTGAGTCTGCATGTATACTGAGACTAGAGAGGTCTGAGTCTGCATGTATACTGAGACTAGAGAGGTCTGAGTCTGCATGTATACTGAGACTAGAGAGGTCTGAGTCTGCATGTATACTGAGACTAGAGAGGTCTGAGTCTGTATGTAGACTGAGACTAGAGAGGTCTGAGTCTGCATGTAGACTGAGACTAGAGGGGTCTGACCCATGCACACGTGTAGAGTACTGGAGTTACCCTCTGTTGTGCGGTCTTCGTCATGGATCATAGACTGCAGAGCAGCCAGTTCCGGGTATTTCCTTGGGTCTATGACATCTGGAGCCTTGCTCATAAACAGGGGAATTCTCTCCATCTCCTGAAATAACACAAGGCAGTATTTCTATAAGTCTCTATAAATTATATAAGAGCAGCAACACAGAACATTCTGAGATTTACACATAGACATTTGCACTTCAATAAGATATATTATACAACTGCGGTAATCATTTTTAGGGTTGCAACTATTGATATTATTTATCAATAAATATTTTGATAATTGCGAGTGGTATAAAAATATAAAATATTGCTTTGTCTCGATCATCATATATATATATATATATATATATATATATATATATATAATATTTAAGGTGGCAGGATGTAATTCAACCCAAAAGATCTAATCCAGAAGCCTTAGGTAAACTGTCAACCTTTAAGTGGTTAAATTAATGATCAATTAAAAAGATTTGATGGACAAAGTCCTTAAAAAAATAGTAATAGGATACATAAAGATAAACACCGAGAAATTGAATTATTGAAATAGTTTGAGTAAAAAAACCACAGGCTTTCCATCATGTTGTTAACCTGCCATAGTGTTTGATGTGCAGCAGAGGGCGCTATTGAGTGACCTCCAGTGTCAATACAGTACAATGTGTCAATAAACTCAGAGGCATCATCTCATCACTAGAGAAAAGCTTACGTCGTTTTTAACCATTTTTGTCATTTTAAAGCCCTTTGCGGTTACCTCTTCCCAGTTGTCCTCGTTGAAACCATTATCGTACTTTTCGGTCCTGAATTTGTCCATAAACGCATCCATGACTTCGTCTTCGCTGTCCGACGCCATGTTTGCGGAGTTTAGGAGTGAAATGTGCCCGAACAACTGAGAAAATTAAAATGTGGCGAAAGAAACAACCGAGAAGCTTTTCGTGTTTTCAACCCGTTTCAACCATGTGAACTGTAAACTAAAATCTCGAGGTACACCTCGTAAAGGGGTCCGTGTGGAAACACAAAAGGAAATGGTAGTTCCGCTCATGTGTTACTATGTCATTCATTGAGAAAAAGTATATTAATATTTACAGTCTATGGAAAAAACATAATCAGATGTGACAGGCCACAAATTGCTGTTTTGTTTATAAAATATGGTATCTAAGTATTCAGACATTAAAATCAATGTTTTGAATTAATGTATCCAATACTGGTATATATATAAAACTATAAACTATGTTTAATAACTGTATACATGCTTTGGTTTTCACTTTCAAATCACGCCGTAGCTGTACATTTTTGATGAATAAACTATAGAATTTTCAGAAGGTAATATCGGACAAAAAAGTGATAATATTATTTTATTCAGCCATCACCTGTAAACAACATTTCTTCATACAGTTTCCACAGTGCGCAGCAGATCTAAGAGCCCATCTTTACTGAGAAACATAGTCTCTCCAGTGTTCTGGCAGATAACCTCAAACTTGGGCTGCTCCTCGAGTGCCCCCTGCCCCACTACAATCACATAAGGATAACCCAGTCTTTTGGCATCTTTCAACCTCTTCCCGATGGTCATGTGAATGCGATCATCCAGGACCACCTCCCCTTTCAAATGAGCAAGCGTCCCGCTCAAACCCCGTGCAACATCTTCCGCTATAGCACTAGCATCATCCGCTTTACTGCCCTTTTTAGGCGGCAGTACGCACACTTGGTAGGGCGCTAGAAGACCTGGCCAGCGGATTTCCTCATCTGTTGACAAAACCTCAATTGCGGCAGCGAGAATCCGGGTAACTCCAAGACCATAGCAGCCCATCTCAGCGATAGTGGGTTTGTTCTGGGTGTTGCTAAACGCGGCGTTGAATATGTTGGAGTACTTCTTACCCAGATAAAATGTATGACCGACTTCTATACCCTTTGATAGCTCTAGAGTTCCTATGTTGCACTTGGGACAGTTTGTTTGGTCTGAAGTCAAAGTTTCCACGTTGGCGGAGAAGGAGCAGGATTCGCACACCAGGAGTTTGTCTTCGCCAATGTCCGCCGGGAGTTGGAATTCATGAGAGAGTGTGCCGCCGATATTTCCTGTGTCTGCTTGCACTTGAACACATCGCAAGCCCAGGCGAGAGAAGAGCCTGGTGTAAGCCTCGCACACAGACTCGTAGGTTCCATAGGCGGCTTCTTCACTCACATCAAACGAGTACATGTCCTTCATGTAGAACTCTCGCCCCCGCAACAAGCCCAACTTAGGCTTTGGCTCATCTCGGAATTTACGGGTGACCTGGAAAGAGCAAAAAAGGATGCCTCATGAAGAGAGTGATTCTTAAACTTTTGAAACAAAAATAACTAAATCTTGGCATATAAGATGCTACTTTTGTCAATTACTTTGAACCCATAGTGTATGTGTTTTTATTGTGTTAGGACGCCCTCTGGAGGCTAACTACCTCCTGCGGCAGCTGTGGATCGCACATAGCATACATGAACAAGAGAGCACTGACCCTAAACACATGTATGGAAGTACACAGAACAGTTATGGACTTTTGTTTTAGTAGCAATAGGACGCCGTTTATAGTCACAACAGATAATGTTTGCCTCCTTAGAGTTAATAAAGTTATTTACCAACATGTGTTACTTTTAAATTAGGTCTAAATGACTGCTATTGTTAAAGTACATCAGTTGTGGGCACCTTCAGAAGTACATACACCAGAGAGTGAGAGACACTGATGTCTCATTAATTGATAAACACAGAGATCATGTACATTCAGAAATCAATCAAGGACTATTGCAAAATCCTTCTTCCTACAATGTACACAGTTGTATGAGTTCTGTCATTGCCTCAGTCATCTGAAAAGCAGCCTCATACCTGGTAGAGCAGCAGAGGCAGCTGTCTGTAGGACAGTGTGCTCTGGTGGGCCACTAGAGTGGTGACGGCCTCTTCGTGTGTGGGGCTCAGGCAGTAGTCGGCACTGTGTCGGTCTTGGAGACGAAACAGCTCCTTCCCCATCAGCTCCCACCGCTCAGTTCTCCTCCAAAGATCAGCAGAGCACAGACTGGGCATGTCCAGCTTCTGCCCCCCGATCGCCTGCATCTCCTGGTCAATCACTCGCACCTGGTGACACAAAACAGAACACATTAAATGTACAATATCCACTCATCATTTCCACTCAGTCATGTGTTGTGGCAGACGCTGCACCAACAGATGGATCGGTGCAGTGTGTGCAGTGATGACGTTGCTGTATCAGACAGTTGTGGTAGTAAGTAAGTAATCTTTATTTATATACCGCCTTTTCACTGCAGATCTGAGTCTCAAAGCGGTTTACAATTGTTAATTTTGGGCATTTGTCCCTCACTCCACACAGAGACGGGAGCGGGGCCAGTACAGGAAGCGCATGCCAGAACTATTGTACATATTTTTAGTGGTAGGGGAAACCGGAGTACCCGGAGGAAACCTACGCAGACACGGGGAGAACATGCAAACTCCACTCAGAAAGGCCCTGGTCCGACCGGGATTCGAACCCAGGACCTTCTTGCTGAGAGGCGAGAGTGCTATCCACTCAGCCACCGTGCCGCCCAAAGCTTAAAGGCAAAGCTCTGTGTATCCCGCTCAGTGCCCACCCTCACCAGCATTGACAGAAGGAACATCTATTTCAAAGGCCTCCAAGAAGACTGTTCTAGGCACCCTAGGTCTTTTACCATAGTCAGCATATGATAATGTTTATTTTATAGACTTCGGTACAATTTTTCCCAATTCAAACAATGAGTACTATGGATGACCCTCGAGAGGCCCCTCCTGGAGGAAAACTAAAAACACGCCTTCTGCTCCCCCTGCTAAGTAACACAAATCATGATTACACAGAGCAGGGCCGGGAACTGCTGTTGTTGTGAGTGTCATGTGACCATGTCAGATCTGCAGTATTCAGTCCTTTCTCACCAGTTTTTCCATAGAGCGCACAGTGGCGGGCAGGTAGTAGTAGCAGCCTGGGTTGGAGGGGTGGATGAGTCCTGCCTGCTGCATAAGCCTCTGACTCCTACAGGTCTGTTCTCCCTGCACTCTGCTGTCCGGCCCCAAGTCGCGCAGATTAGATGGCTGGTAGAGACGTGACACCAGCGGCACAGGCATCCCCGGAGAGCCTGGAGGAGAGCCTGGAGGAGAGCCTGGAGGAGAGCCTGGAGGAGAGCCTGGAGGAGAGCCTGGAGGAGAGCCTGGAGGAGAGCCTGGAGGAGAGCCTGGAGGAGAGCCTGGAGGAGAGCCCGGAGGAGAGCCTGGAGGAGAGCCTGGAGGAGAGCCCAGAGGAGAGCCTGGAGGAGAGCCTGGAGGAGAGCCCAGAGGAGAGCCTGGAGGAGAGCCCAGAGGAGCAGAAGAAGAGTGCTGCTTATGAAGGCCAGTCATGGGTCTGTGCAGTCGCTGCCACACTCTGGGCCAAATCTGCTGCACCACAGGCTCCATAGCAGCTACCCAACTGAAACAACATGAAAAGAGTCCATGTAAACAATAGATTATGGCAATACTGTCTCATAATCTGCCATAGTAGCACTTTCTCTATCCTAAATCTCCACCTTTCACATTCACTGATTTATCAAAGCTTAAACTCAAAACTAAAAATGGGACCTTTGAGGACCTGTGGCGACCCTCAATGTTGGAGACAATGGAAATGTAATCACCCCATAAAAAGTTTTTCTTTTGTAATTGTTTCTTATTATTTAACTACGTTTGTGTTTTATCTTATCTTTTATTCTTTGTCTTTGTTTTTATTTTTATCTTGTTTTACTGGGTGTAGGTACACACGGGGGAAAGGAAAAAAATAAGAGTGATAAAAACAAGATGAAAAAGTGACAAATGTGGCCATAATATGACGACAATGTGACGATAAAGTGACAAAAATGTGACGACAATGTAACAAAAAATGTGACGATAAAGTGACAAAAATGTGACAACAATGTAACAAAAAATTTGACAAAGATGTGATCATATCGTGACAAAAACGTGACGACAACGTGACAAAAATGTGATAAAGATAGGACCGTAATGTGACAAAAATGTGACTATAAAGTGACAAAAATGTGACGACAATGTAACAAAAAATTTGACAAAGATGTGACTATAAAGTGACAAAAATGTGACAAAGATGTGATCATAACGTGACAAAAACGTGACGACAACGTGACAAAAATGTGACAAAAATGTGGCCGTAATCTGATAAAAAAAATGAGACAATAAAAAGAAAATTACAAAAAAAAACTAAAAATGGAATGAGCCTTTTGTCATCAATGTGCGCCTCAAGGGGGAGAGGAAGTTAGCGAGCAGAAAGTATGTTTGAGATGTTTAATCTTGTAAACATTTGCTTTAAAACTGCAGAACGTGCTGCTTTTCTGCATTCCAGAGGCATCTCATATATCTACTGCAGAATATGAAAAGTTACAAAAAGCTCTTTATATTTTCTTTTGGGGCCAAGTGTTTAACAGTAGGCCTGTCACTATAACACATTTTGAGTAAGTAAAAGTGAACATATTTTCTAGCAAGATAAATACAGCATGTTGTATGGTCTTTGTTTAAAAAAGGGTTTAGGTTCTCAGCAGAATAGGAGAAACAAGAGCACACATCACATTAGATCTATTGATAATCCAATATTCAGTTAATAATCTGGAATAAGATGCCCCCTGAAATGCGCACCATCACTGATCTTGGCCTTTTTAAATCCAGGCTCAAGACACATTTATTCAGACTGGCTTTTAACATTCAGTAGCACGGCAACACTTTTATTTATCTTACTGTTTTATTTTTGTTTGAATTAAAGTTTTTAATGCATTTTATGTGATTTTATTGTAAAGCACTTTGGTCGCCTTGAGTGTTGTAAAGGGCTCTATAAATAAAATTTGATTGATTGATTGATTGAATAAACTCTGGAGGTATAACGACATTTGGGTTAAGGATAAGTACACTATTATTATTATTAGTTTATTTGATATGGACATATCAACTGCATTGGACAAACCAGATACATTGTTTCCAGTGTTATAGCAAAACTGCTCATTTGCAACACCTGTCCATAGGAGGCTACACATTTCAAAAAACACAATACAATACAGTACAATATTTAAAAAGGTAAACAATACACAATTACACATCATCAGTATACATTTCATACTAATGTGGAGCACACTGTAGTCATGAGGTTTCACAATTACACAGTACTGTACTTAAAATAAACAATAGTAAAAATAGCAGCAGCAGGAAAAGTGGCCAATGAATTATCAGAGCAGATGTAACAATGTGATAATGAACAACAAAATCAGGTATTTTCAGGATTATCAGGATTATCAGGATTATCAGAGCAGGTGAATGGCACATTGTACAGTCTGACAGCTGTTACCACTGCATCTACAGCTTACACACACATCTACCAGAAACATAGAATAGTCCAGTTTAAACCACGGATAATTCATTACAATAGAGCAAAACAGAATATGTAGTACAAAGATTTATATTACAACACCTCCAAGGACAGACAGGACTGTGGGCGTTCTTTACTAAAACTATAGTTAAAAAAATTAAACGATCAAATTACTCACCACCACTGAAATAAAAGTGCTTAATTTAATGGCGTTGTATCTGTCTTTACTAACTAATTATTTCACATGTTTTGGTTTTGATAGTTCCTCCGAAAAGTCCGTGACAAAAGCATGGATGAACGGGGGGGGCGGGGAAACCGGATGTCAAGTAAAAGGTACTTCCGGTGCGCGGTCTTCTTCTTCTTCTTCTGTTTTTCGGCAGTGGGCTCCCGTACATGTTGCATCACTGCCACCCTCAGTTTTATTTTATAATGTTATAATTTTCTTTTCCAGTGTCGCTAAAAACAAAATGGAGAGCGACATATTGTTCTTTTTTTTTTTTTTTTGTTTTTTTTTTTTATTCCA